ATGCTGAAGGAAATGGAAAAGGCAGGCATGCAAGCGGCCCACAAGGCGCACCCCCGGAGCCTTAGGCAGCCTTAGGGAGTAGTGGGGAGCAGTAGGGAACCTTGGGTTACATAGGGTTTAGGATTTAGGGTTTAGGGTTTAGGGTTTACCCCCCTCCCTTAAGAACCCTGTAATACACAATACAGACTCTGAAGGGGTTCTGGCCTATCAGTACAAGCCCAATGCATAAAGCTTGAGCGCCGCCTCGGCCCTCAAAGCCCGACACCCTAAACGGGGCGGGCTTAGGGTTTAGGGTTTAGAGTTTAGGGTGTAGGGTTTAGGGTTTAGGGTTGTTACCCAACTGCCCTTTTAAGAGGTCATCATGGGCCACAGCCTGGGCGGGGTCGGCTGCCAGTTCTACGTCGCCGGGTCTGGGCAAGGCAAGCGCTTAACATTCTTCGAGGTCCCCCCACGTACTGGAAGACGGGGTTTAGGGTTTAGGGTTTAGGGTTACGGGTTACAGGTTGAGGGTTCCTTAAAACCCCAAAAAACCTACAGCCCCAAACCCCCAAAGCCCTAAAACCCCTAAGAACCTCACTTATCACTACCCATGAACCTTCAAGTAGGGTTCAGGGTAAGGGTTGCACCCTGAACCCGAATATATCCAACAGCTACTTGCAGCCGTACACGGCTGTCGGGAAGGATGAGACTTGAGTTCAAAGCTGTAGGCAAGATGGATGCCATGGTGCTGACGGGAGGCACGGTGTTGCGCAGGTGCCCTCCCCCCAACAGCTCGGTGTAGGGTTGAAAAAGTCACTGAGACTTGCTGCTGTTAGAAAGTAGCGGCTTTTCTCCCATCCATTCGAGCAGGTTTCATCATGTCACCCACGAGGTACCGGCAGTCTGCGAAGCTGCCGCCAACGCTGACACTGGTGTCTTTGATGCAGAGACTGCTGCACGGTGCGGAACGCTGTTGCAGCTTAAGCTCTTCACAATTCTTGCAAGCACAGTAATGCATGTGCAAATAGTACAAGAACTACTAGCCGACTAGCCAGTAGCACAGGCAGAACTATGACCAGTATCACGATGACCACTCCTTTTACTTTTGTTGCTACTTCTGTTGCTCTTACTGGTACGAGTACCACTACCAAACCCTAAACCTGTACCTCCCTCAGACACCAGGATGGCGACCTTGATGGCCTACTGCGCATTACGCGCCAGGCCGGTGCCCCCCCCCCCCCCCCCCCCCGCCAAACCCCACCCCCCAAGATTCCCTACGCTAAGCCCTAAGCCCGAAGCCCTAAGCCCTAAGCCCTAAGTTCTAGGCCCTGAGCCTTAAGCCGTAACCCCTAAACCTAGACCCCTGAACCCCCCCAATGTGCTCAGCGTGTGATTAAGCCCTGAACCCTCAACCCTAAACCCTAAACCTTAAACCCTAAACCTTAAACCCTAAACCCTAAACCTTAAACCCTAAACCCTAAACCTTAAACCCTAAACCCCAAAAGCGATCTGGGGAGGCGGAAGCCTACTTCCACCAGGTTGCCAAAGTCGGAGGAGCTCCTGGGAGTGAGCTTGTGGAGTGGGGGGTAAGGGTTTAAAGGTTTAGGGTTTAGGGTTTAGGGTTTGAAGGCTTAAAGGTTTAAAGTTTAGGGTTTAGGGTTTAGGGCTAGGGTTTAGGGTTTAGGGTTTAGGGCTTGACGGCTTAGGGATCCTCCCCGTGCGAAGGAGCCGACGCAGGAGTGGATCGCCCAGTGATCTTGCTCGAAGGCCCCCAAAGAACACTTGAGGGTTGTTCTAAAGTCCCTAATCCCTCTAGGGTTTAGGGTTTAGTTTTTAGGGTTTAGGGTTAGGGTTTAGGGTTTAGGGTTTAGGGTTTAGGGTTTAGGGTTTAGGGTTTAGGGTTTAGGGTTGAGGCTTGCAAGGGCTTCAGGTCTTGAGTTCTGCAGTCATCACAAGTCCCCACAAAGGCGTCAGATCAGCTGGGATGAATCCGGCTCTCGCTCGAAAGCTTGCCCTGTTGCCTAAACCCTAAACCCTAAACCCGAAACCCTAAACCCTAAACCCTGCACCCTAAACCCTAAACCTGCACCCTAAACCCTAAACACTAAACCCTAAACACTCGGAGGGCTCCCCGGTTCCGAAGAAGCAAGGATCTGGAAAACCGGACTTCCCTAGAGCCCTCCACCCTGAAAACCCCAACCAACCCCTTGGCCCCGACATCCTAAGCTTTCAGGGACTCTTATCAAAAAAAAAACTCCCGAAACCACCTGACCCCTAAACCCCAAAAGCCAAAACCCCAAACCCTACCCCAGACCCAAAAAGTTGGAACATCCTTATCCCCACACCCCAAAGGTATCCTAAAAGGGAATCCCAGCTCCAATCATCCTAACACTATGTTCCGACTTTAAAACCCTAAACCCTAAACGCTAAACAACAAGCTCTAAACTCTAAACTCTACACCCTAGACCCTAAACCCTAAACCCTAAACCCTAAACCCCTAAACCCCTAAAACCCTAAACCCTAAACCCCTAAACCCCTAAACCCTAAACCCTAAACCCTAAGCCCCCCAGCAGGCTTGAGCCACTGGAGCTTCAGCTCGGGCGCTCTCCCATCCAATGTCAAGAAGTACGACCTCAGGGCCGAGGCATTTTCGGTTTAGGGTTTAGGGTTTAGGGTTTAGGGTTTAGGGTTTAGGGTTTAGGGTTTAGGGTTTAGGGTTTAGGGCTTCGGGCTTAGGGTTTAGGAAGGGGTCTTAGGGTCTAGGGTTTCGGGTTTAGGGTTTAGGGTTTCGTATTTGGGGTTTAGGCCCGAGGCTTTCTAGGGTTTGGGGCTTTGGGGCTGGGGTTTGAAGCTTTATGGCCTTGCGGTTTTAGGGTTTGGGGAACCCGATACCATGAGAACCCAACACCTTCCCCATTCTTGCCAGGGGAGTACCTTAAAACCCCAAACCCCAAACCCCAAACCCTAAACCCCAAACCCCGAACCCCCCTAAACCCTAAATGACCGTAAACCCTAAACCCTAAACCCTAAACCCTAAACCCATGACCCTAAACCCTAAACCCTAAACCCTAAACCCTAAACCCTAAACCCTAAACCCTAAACCCTAAACCCTAAACCCTAAAAACTAAACCCTAAACCCTGAGCCCTAAGCCCTAACCCCTAACCCCTAAACCCTAAGCCCTAAGCCCTAAGCCCTAAGCCCTAAACCCTAAACCCTAAACCCTAAACTTACCAAGAAGGCAGGTTGTTACGGAGGCCCCTTCTGGAGGCCTTGGGGTCCGAGGTTTGGTGTTGGGGGCTGGCAGACGCCTCTCGAGTCCTTGGTCTTGCAAGGGTTTAGGGTTTAGGGTTTCGGGTTTAGGGTTTAGGGTTTAGGGGTTAGGGTTTAGGGTCTAGGGTTTAGGGTTTTGGGAGGAAGTGCCGCCCGAAGGTTGGGGTATCTTGTTCTAGGACGGCCCTGAGGGCGCTTCGGTTCGTTCGCCCTGCATTCAGTTTAGGATTGAGGTTCGGGTTCAGGGGTTTAGGGTTTAGGGTTTAGGGTTTAGGGTTTAGGGTGGATTCCTGTCCAAGAGGGCGCCTTACTGTTGCGAGGGCCATGTTTTTTACGATGGCAGCTTAGGACCGAAACAAATGTCCCGCTTCCAGAACTGTTTGCGCTCGTTTGGAGGGTTCGAAGGACATGACATGTTCGTGGGCCGGTCCGCCAGGTCGGTGTCGACGCCGGACACGCGATGATTGGCCAAGTGGTTTCTGACTATCTGAGTTCCTTGTTCGGCTCTGATTCGGAAAGACCGGCGGCGCAGCAGAAGATCGCCGAGGCGGTGGCTTGCTTGAAGTGAGCAGTGTTGAGGAGCGCTGTGCCCGAAAAAACCCCCTACACCCCCAACCCCCCTAAACCCCCGAAAGCCCTCTAAGCCCCTATACGCCCCAACCCCTAAACCCCATCAACCCGCCAAACTCCCTAAACTCCCTAAACTCCCTAAACCCCCTAAACCCCCTAAACCCCCTGAACCCCCTAAACCCTAAACCCCCTAAACCCCCTAAACCCCCTAAACCCCCTAAACCCCCTAAACCCCCTAAACCCCCTAAACCCCCTAAACCCCCTAAACCCCCTAAACCCCCTAAACCCGAAACGCTGGGTGCAGCTCAGGTGAAGAAGACGGGGGAGCTCTTGGATCCTTGGAGTTCCTTTTAAGGATTCTTCTAGGGTTTAGGGTTTAGGGTTTAAGGGTTAAGGGTTTAGGGTTTAGGGTTAGGGTGTTTAAGAGTTCAGGGTTTAGGGCTTGAGGGGTTTGAGGGGTTTGAGGGGTTTTGGGGTTTGAGGGGTTTGGGCTTCATGCTTGAGGGTTTAGGGTTTAGGGTGTAGGGCACTGAGTATGGGTCGCAATGCAAAGACAGCCAGCTGCCAAAACCCTGAACCCGAAACCCTAAACCCTAACCCCTAAACCCTAAACCCTAAACCTTAAACCCTAAACCCTAAACCCTAAACCCCAAACCCTAAACCCTAAGCCCTGAACTGCGGAGCCCAGGACCCTGTCTTGGCGGCCCTTCACCTCGAGGGCTACCACTACCTGAACCCTCCGTGCAACAGCGACTACCCGACCAACCCGACCTGCCAATACCCCAAGCGTCTTGCCGAAGGTTTTAGGGTTCAGGGTTTAGGGTTTAAAGGGTTTATAGGGTTTATAGGGTTTAAGGGTTTATAGGGTTTATAGGGTTTATAGGGTTTATAGGGTTTATAGGGTTTATAGGGTTCATAGGGTCTAGGGTTTAGGGTTTAGGGTTTAGTTTGGGTGAAGAGGTGGATAGGGTTTTCGGGGTCAGCGTTTGGGGTCCAGGGTGTTCGAGGGTCTTCTAAACTCAGAGGTAGCGTAGGCTTTCGGGATCAGCTTCCGTCTTATTTTTTTGTGTGTGTGTGTGTGGGGTACATAGAAAATAGATGGAGATATTCATGTTGCTTCACACTGACACTCGAACACCGACATCTTGGAAACGCGGAGGTGTTCCTGAACGCTCCGACCGCGTGCTCAAGCCGAAGCACAAAAGTTCAGGGCTTGGGTTTGGGGCTTAGCGCCTGCCATATCCGGGAGGGTTTTCGCCTCAAAACGTCCGATTCCCACAGCTCAGAAACAAGTTCTGCTACTCTTATGGTTAATCTTATTCTTGTCACAGTTATTCTATTTTCACCGTTACTTTTTGATGGCTATTGCTATTGTTTAGATTCGTATTGTGATCGGTGCTATTACTCTTGCATGTACTAATTTTCACGATCAAGAGGTTCAAGAGTCCTGGTCTGCGCAAACACCGCATGGTCGCACGGATGTTCTTATCGCACGGGCAACGAATGATGTCGACCTCGGATTCGCTGGAAGCATGTAGCATGAACATTCCTATTGCACGGACGTGGGTGGGCTGGACCACGGATTTTTCTGGTAACATGCAAACAGCCTATCGCACGAGCATGAATGATCTGCGCCACCGATTCCCTGATAACATGGACGTTCGCATCGCGCGGGCTAGATGACCACCGTTTCTTGGCGTCTGCGACGCAGCGATTTCAGATTTCCGCGGCGTTGCGTGTGGTCGGAGGGCTAAGCCCTAAACCATAAACCCTAAACCCTATACCCCAAACCCTAAACCCTGAACCCTAAACCCTTAACCCTAAACCCTACACCTATAAGCCCTAAACCTATAGGCCCTAAATCGTCCGAAGCTTCCTACGCCCCAGTGCCGGAAGGTTCAGGGTACTTGTAACCCCAACTATGGCTGCGCTTGTGTCAGGTTATAAGAACCCTGAACCTCAAACCCTAAACCCATTAGACTTACAGTTGGGGGTTATAAGTCCCCCTAAACCCTAAACCCTAAACCCTAAACCCTAAACCCTAAACCCTAAACCCTAAACCCGAAACCCTAAACCCTAAACCCTAAACCCTAAACCCTAAACCCTAAACCCTAAACCTCCAAGCGAGGTATCCCGACAAGTCGCTGCTTCCCCCGGCCGGGCCACCGAAGCCGCTGCCGCCAGCAGATTGCACTTGTGGCAGCTTCTTGGCAGCATTTAGGGTTTAGGGTTTAGGGTTTAGGGTTTGGGGTTTGGGGTTTAGGGTTTAGGGTTTGGGGTGGTTTTAAGGCTCTGTTGGGGTCGTAAACCCTAAACCCTAAACCCTAAACCCTAAACCCTAAACCCTAAACCCTAAACCCTAAACCCTAAACCCTAAACCCTAAACCCTAAACCCTAAACCCTAAAGCAGATACACGCCGGAAGGTGCCACGAAGTCGTCGGACTCAGTTGCGGGTTTCCGAGTTTCGTACCTTGTTGGGGCCTTACTACCAGGGGATCCTACTTTTTGGGGGACGGTCTTAGGGTTTAGGGTTTTTCGGGTTTAGGGTTTAGGCCGTAAACCCCGAGTTCTATCTTGCCTGAGTTTGGAGAGGCACCTCATCTGGGCGGTTCTCTAGGTTGTTGTTTCCTGTTTTGTGGGTACCCGAAATCCAGGGCTTCGGTCGCAAAAAGGAAGGAGTCCCCCAAAAGGGAAGGAGGAACCCCCAAAGCGGTTAAGGGTGTAGGGTTTAGGTTTGAGGGTGCAGGGTTTAGGGTTTAGGGTTTAGGGTTTAGGGTTTAGGGTTAAGGTTTAGGGTTTAGGGTTTAGGTTTTAGGGTCGCAGGTGATTGGGTGGCCAACAGCGCTGCCAGCATCATGGCGGGTTTTGCCCAGACCCTCGCTGTCCAGTCGAAGCTCGTCACCAAGGACCCAACAAAGTAGCCAATGGCAAGAGTGCCCTAGATCCTACCATAGCACCCAAACACTACAACCCTTAGATCTTATAATCCTAAACTCCCAAACCCTAAACCCTATACTCCTAAACCCTAAACCCTAAACCCTACCATCCAAAACTTCCTAAACCCCACAAACCCCCCCAGAAGCCTCCAGCTGCCCCAAACCCTGAATCCTAAACCCTAAACACTAAACTCTAGACCCTAAACCCTAAAACCCTGAACCCTAAACCCTAAACCCTAAACCCTAACCCTAAACCCTAAACCCTAAACCCTAAACCGGAGGATGCATTCCACGACGTGTCCGACGTGAGGCCTTTCCATCTGCCCCACATCTTCGAGCCCCAGCAGCCTGGCGCTGCTTAGAAGCGGGCTGTTCCACGTTTAGGGCCCCTCTTTGGGATACTGTTCATTTTAAGATTAGATATACATAAATAAATACACACACACACACACATATATATATATATGTATACGTCTATAAGGTACCTATGATAAGAAACACATAATGAAATAAGTAAATATATAAATATAAATATAAGTATCAACATAAATATATATTTAAATATACATATATATATATAGAAGGTACCTACAAAAAGACCCTCACAACCAGCGACTCCCTGTTGCATGTAGGCTTTCTAGCCTAGGCCCGGCACTGCGTGCTCGGACCCCGCGAAGTGCTTCATCAATGCCACCACCGTGACGATGCCAATCTACGACTTCAAGGATTGCCTAAACCCTAAACCCTAAACCCTAAACCCTAAACCCTAAACCCTAAACCCTAAACCCTAAACCCTAAACCCTAAACCCTAAACCCTAAACCCTAAACCCTCAACCTCTGCAGTTTGAGGGCGCTTCCGTGGTAGGGTCCAGGTGAAGGGTACTGCGCGTACGGGAGCCGCAGTTGGTAGGATGACTTCGACACGGGACTCTGGCCAGTCACTGCCAGTGAGTTCCGCATCCCGGCTTCACCGAGCATGTCCAGTAGCCTCCTGTGGAGGGTCACATGCTCGGTTTAGGGTTTAGGGTTTAGGGTTTAGGGTTAGGGTTGCAAGGAAAGTAGTCAAGCGTAGTCTGGCGTTGTGTAGCGGGGTGAGAGCTCCTTTTCAAGGGGGAGGCATGTTTCCGGCACGCGCAAGAGCAGCCCAGAGCAGAGCTGAACTTGCGAAACCTGCGACCCAGAGTAGGGCCCTGAATACTTTTTGTTTTGGGCTTAGGTTCCCTTATAAGATCCTTTTTTTTAGGGCTTAGGTGCCCTTATAAGATCCTTTTTTTGTTGGGCTTAGGTTCCCTTATAAGATCCTCTTCATTTTAGGGCTTAGGTTCCCTTATGAGCCCCCTGAACCGAAAGAGGGCACCCTGTCTTATCCCTAGGTTACTCTTGCGTCTAGAAAACCTAGCAGACAACGAGCGGGCACCTTTTGCTTTTGCTTCTTCGGTTTTTAGGGTTTAGGGTTTAGGGTTCCATGTTTCGCCATGGTTGTTGGACTTGGTCGTCGATGTTCCCTTTTTGGTTGGGAGTACCACGGCCCATGATGTTGATCAGCCTTGAACCCTAAACCCGCAGATGTGACCGGAGGAGAAGCCACCAACAAAGACACCCTAAGCGTCGGTCCCTTACAATCCCCTTAAAACCAAAAAAAGAACTCTTTTCATGCCTAGGTTACTCCTGGGCCGAGGACGCCCTAAGCGTGTGCGCACATGAAACTTCATGCCTCCCCAAAAAGGACATAAGCCCAAGCTTCTTAGAAGGATATCCTACCTTACTGGTCTTTCAGTAAAAGGGGATTTTACATGGGAGATCCCTCTCCTAATCTTTTCCTTCTGTGCTTCTTGGGCGCCCCATGAGCCGAGGTACCAAGTTCAAGTCCCGCGAGGCTTTGCAACAGGCGGGTTCGGGTTTAGGGTTTAGGGTTTAGGGTTTAGGGTTTAGGGTTTAGGGTTTAGGGTTTAGGGTTTAGGGTTAAGGGTTTAGGGTTAAGGGTTTAGGGTTTAGGGTTTAGGGTTTAGGGTTTAGGGTTTAGGGTTTAGGGTCTCTTCGGAGCTTTCCTTGGGGAAGGTGTCGGTGGATCGCAGCGTGCTGGCATTCTCCTGGGGGGTAGATGCGGGAAGTTAGAGAAGTTGTTTGAGATGCCCTAAGCCACAATCCCTCAACCCAAGCCCAAAACCGCAGCTCTTGTCAAGAGGCCGCTGGGCTTGCGGACGTCAACTACACAGCCACAGCATGCTGGCTGCACAGCACTTGAGCCCGTCATCCTAAACAGGGGACATGTAAACCCTAGACCCTAAACCCTAAACCCTAAACCCTGTTTAGGGTCTACTTTCACGATTCGGCAGCTGGACATGTAGGTTGTGTCATAGACCAGTTTCACGTAAAAGGCGCTGTTGCCCCCTTGTTCTGGCCGGCTATTGGGGATGTTCACCCTTATACTAGCAGTCCTTAGTAGGGATTATAATAGGGATGTTAGGGCTTACTTACCCCCCAACCCTAAGCCCTACTGGTGCTCTTGCAGAAGGGCAGTGTAATGGTCAGAATTCGGGACCCTCTAGTCTCTCTAGGTTCGCGGTTCTACCCTAAACCCTAAACCCTAAACCCTAAACCCTATAACCCTATAACCCTATAACCCTATAACCCTATAACCCTATAACCCTATAACCCTATAACCCTATAACCCTATAACCCTATAACCCTATAACTCTATAACCCTATAACCCTATAACCCTATAACCCTATAACCCTATAACCCTAAACCCTATACCCTAAACCCTAAACCCTAAACCCTAAACCCTAAACCCTAAACCCTAAACCCTAAACCGTGGGGGTGTAGGGCGGTCCGTAGGCACGTTCATCATGCCCAGGACGAGCTGAACACCAAGATTTGCCAGACCATCAACCAGGCAACGTTTGGGATGTGGGCAGTTCTATAGTTTGGGGCCCCTTGGGTTTAGGGTTTAGGGTCTAGGGTTTAGGGGGACCCCTTTTTGGGGTCCTTTGTTATAAGGGTGCCGTACTGTATATAGGGGGCCGAACAACAAGTAATGTCGGGTTTAGAGAGGCTTCAAAGGTCTAAAGCTGTAGGACTGTGATGGGCAGCGGCGCTGGTACAGCACGGCACGCCCTGCTTGCCTTGAGTTCTGAACCCAGAAACCAACACACACAAGAAAACGCAAAAACAGGTAGGGGGAAAACGCACCTGATTCCCCCCTAAACCCTCAACACGAAATCCTGGATCCTAAAAAATCTCTGGGGCAGGCTGCCTACGACTGGGCCCTGAAAACTGCCTCCAGCAAGGCGCGCTTTAGAGTTTAGGGTTTAGGGTTTAGGGTTGCCTCCGTGGCTCCGAAAGGTTCAGGGTTTGCGGTTTAGGAGCCAGTCAGCTTGCAGATGATAACAATAGGGGTTTAGGGTTTAGGGTTTAGGGAAGTACTCATGACATTCCCTTGTGGTCCCTCCGCAGCACAGTTCACATAGGGTCGGAATAATTACTAGGAGTATTCCCTTGTGGTCCCTTTGTAAATATACCATAGTAACCCCCAAAAACACATAGTTATACCAGAATTAGTCCCTTTATCATGATACCATAATAGTCCCCAAAACCCTATTCTAATTCTTAAGGCCCCCCCCCCCCCCTGTTGTGAAGAGCTTGCTGCCGCTTCCTTGTTCAGGCACGCGACCGTTTTCTGAAGCACGGCCAGCCATACGTCTTCGTCGAGGACAACCCGGGCTGCTTTCTGTCGAACGGCTTCGGGTTTGAAAGAGTACAGCTAGCTTTTCTTTGGACAAAACTTTTACTGCAACTTCGATTGACGTTCTCACAGAAAAGAGTTGAGTTTAAAACATTCAGACGACCTGCATTTCAGAAAGAATTTCGGTTGTGAGCATGATCGTGATAGACGCATCTCTTTCGCAAAAAGGAATGCCACCACTCTCTTGTGGCAGTGAACGAATTCTGTACGTCGGCTATCGCCCAGTGTTTATTCATGTAACTCAAAAGATTTCCATATGATGGTCAAGCTATCAAGTGATATACAAATTTATACATATGCATAGTAATATAGCGATGCATTGCGTGACATGAGTAAACCCAGGATGCACCAAGCAGTGCCTTGATGCATCTACCCAAAGAGCTCAGCTCAATACCACTTAATTAAGGAACATTCCTTAACTCAGAATAAGGATCCCTTTATAATTTAAGCCATATTCCTTAAGTCATAATAAGGATCCATTTATGATTTCAGCTATATTCCTTAAATCATAATAAGGATACCTTTATAATTTAAGCCATATTCCTTAGTTAAGGGGTATTGGGCTCTTTGGGTACACGAGATGGTCTTGGGCTCATCGCTGGGATGATGGTGCATGTTCTGACGGGTTTCCTTCAGCACCAAATGAGGGTTTAGGGTTTAGGGTTTAGGGTTTAGGGCGACAACCATACAAACGATCACCAACGTTGAGTGTAGTCGCGCAACATAAGCGTTGACTTAACCATGTTGGCACCCTCAGGCATTCTGATGCAATGTTAAGACATTTCGCTCATGAGCTTGCCCATTCTGCAAAACAGCAACTGTTATTATTGGATATTCCCCTAACAGTGTGTCAACGTCAAGAGGTTCCAACGTTCAGAGTAAGAGGGGCGAGGCCGAGATTGGTGCGCGGGGCTCGCCGCGCGTGCGCAGCTCTTGCGGCCCGACCAAGTTTTTTTTTGGTTTTTTTTTGGAAGCCTGCTCGCATTTAGGACGAAAATCACGCTCTCGCCTAGGCACGGGCGTGGCCACGCTCGTCATCCTCGTAGCAGCATCGCTTTTGGACTTCAGGGCTCGCGAAATGCGAAACCGCCGTCGCTTTTGGAAGTCTGGCCTCGTGTGGTCTCTCATCGTTTTCGTCTACATTTGGCATACTTTGATTATATCCTCTTATTTCCTTTTGCATCCTGAAATCGTTGCCATCTTTCTCAAATCGACCGCAAAACTTCATCAGTTTTCCTGGAGAAAAGATTTCTGGGGTTAATATGGAAGTTAAGTTGAAGTTCAGTGGGCCCTATATAATCAAATTGATGTAAAAAAACAACAAACATTTTATTCTACAGTTCTTTGGAATTATACGGTGCGTGCTGTAGGGCACTCCAAATCCACACCTATTCAATCATTGCATTGGAGTTCCAGGCTTAGTATGTCGGTTCTTCACGACCCTTTCTTACCAAGCAAAGGGCTTCCCCGGCTCGACCCCAACAGCGGGGTCGGCGGATAGGGGGGGTATAGAAGGGTTTCCCAGTGCAGGGCCCAGATAAGGGACCACGCAACTGTCCTTAGAACTACCTCCCAATACCCACCTACCCCAATACAAACCCTAAACCCTAAACCCTAAACCCTAAACCCTAAACCCTAAACCCTAAACCCTAAACCCTGAACCCTAAACCCTAAACCCTAAACCCTAAACCCTAAACCCTAAACCCTAAACCCTAAACCCCGGTCTGCCATCAGGACAAGAAGTCAGGCTTCGGCATTACCGGCCCGACGTGGATCCATGACGCATTGTCCTTTACTCCCAGCAAGGACTCCGTGCTGCATTTGGTGGGTTTAGGGTTTAGGGTTTAGGGTTTAGGGTTTAGGGTTGTCAGGAACATGCGGTTGGGCTTCCTAAAGCCTAAGCCCTAAACCGTAGGGTTAGGGGGTTTGGGGGGGGGGGGTTAGAGGGTTTAGGGCCGATACTTGCGTAACACCGGAGGCCCTAGTGTGATCTTCATTTCTTGGATTTATCTTCCGGTCTTCTATTACCTTGGGGGGGCGGGGGCGGGGGGAGGGGGGGGGGGAGGGTAGAACGAAACGAACAGGACGCTTGGCATATGTATACATCAAAAGATATTAGAATCCTTGAATGTTGTTAGGGATGCTTATATGTGCACACCGTAATGGGGTTCATAGGGTTGGGGACTATAGTAGTGCAGGGCAGATGATCCCACTTTTGGGGTTCTCTTTTTTCTTGGCCCTCAAGATCGAATGAGCTCCCCGACGCAGTCTAGAGCGTTTTGTGGTTGAAACCCTAAACCTTCACCCCTAAACCCTAAACCCTAAACCCTAAACCCTAAACCCTAAACCCTAAACCCTAAACCCTAAACCCTAAACCCTAAACCCTAAACCCTAAACCCTAAACCCTAAACCCTAAACCCTAAACCCTGTTTAGCGCTCGCGGTTTAGGGTTCGGACCACAAAGACCCCACACTTTGGATCAACCCAACTTGCCTCTGCTCAGGACAAGAAGACCGTGGCTGTGCAGTCCCACTACTTTCCACTGAAGAACAAGATCCTAGGTTTGGCATTGTGTGCACTACTTGGAGGTTCGTGGGTTAGCTAGTTAGTTGGTTAGTTAGTTGGTTGGTTAGTTAGTTGGTTAGTTGGTTAGTTGGTTAGTTGGTTAGTTAGTTAGTTAGCTAGTTAGTTAGTTATTTATCAGTAGCATTATAAGCACCCCAAATAAGATTTTTGCTGGTTGTAAGAATGGTTGCCCTACTGACAACCCCACTTCCAGCTACCCATGGACCTTCAAGTACTTGGAGCTTTGGCGAGCAGTTCTGGTTGGGGTGCAAGTAGGATGAGAGCACTACTCATGACCCTACTTACAACTACCCATGATTTGTCAAGTAGTCGTTTAGTCGCGACCCAATCAGGTATTTCTTGAGTTGTAGGTTGATCTTCAAGGCATTCATGCTAGTGGTATTGTGCGCCATTATTCAGGTGAATGATGGGCGCGCCCAAAGCCCGCAACTTTCAACCGATATGAACAGTGCCTGATTGATTGCTGAGGAATCTGGGAGATGTGCGGCTTGGTGTCACTAAACCCCAAACCCCAAGCCCCAAGCCCCAAACCCCAAACCCCAAACCCCAAACCCCAAACCCTAAACCCCAAACGCCGCATAAACCTGAAACCCAACTTTGAGATTGAAGAAGCCCAGGTCGTTCATCGAAACAGTCGGCTATCACTACTGCAAGCTCTTGTCACCAGCTCGGGCTATGGAGTGGATTTACGTGGATGGCTTGAAGGAGAGTTCGTGATGCCTTTGAGAGTAGGTGCGTTCGGTTTTGAGTTGAAGGCATGCGACCAACCCTAAACCCTAAACCCTAAACCCTAAACCCTAAACCCTAAACCCTAAACCCTAAACCCTAAACCCTATACCCTAAACCCTAAAACCCTAACCCTAAGCCCAAACCCTAAACTTCCCGGAGGCCACCTTGAGAGCATGAGACCACGGCGTCCTAACACAGAGCTCTTTGGGCTCCTCTAAGGGTAGTTATATGCGCCCTTCATATGGTCCCTTGCCTCCTTTAAAGGGTTCAGAAGTATGGGCCCTTGGGTTTGATAGGGGATATTAGGGGCATCCCTTTTGGAGCATGTAACTATCCTAGCCATTCAGGGCCTCAGCACCGAGTCATTTGCAGAGGAGTTCTACGGCACTAAGAACGATGGGATGGAGATCCTGATGTGATCTTCTGAGGCACGCCGCTGCCGGACCCTGTTATGAGTCTCGTTCAGCCGGCTAAGTTGCCACAAACAGCGAATCCTGCTGTTCTTTAGGGTTTAGGGTTTAGGGTTTAGGGCTTGCTGATCGGGAGGTGGAAGGTTCAGCTTCCTTTGCAGCTGGGGCTAGTGTTGCAAACAGTGGCGCTGGCGCCCACGCAAGTGCCAACCGCTTTCGGAGCGATCGCTCGCAGAGCGGGTCAACGAAGCAGCTCTGGATGCTGTAGAACCTTTCTTCTGGGGTTAGATACATGTTGCAGTCGAAGGGTGCTCCTGTGGTGATAGCACAGGAGCCTGAAACAATACCAAGATTGTCCCCTGAGAATTCCCTATCTAAATTATCCATTTAATGACAAGACAACTCTCCTAGATGCCCATTATTGCTCAGTAGCAGAATGAGTCGCCCCAACATGCTCCCAGCGAGATGCGGAGAAGGTTCCCGTCTGATAATTTCAATGCCGAGGGGATGCGCCTGCGCCGACGTCTTGTGCTTGGCAGGATGGGTGCACGTACAGAGACAAAGTCCGGGGCCTTCTCCAATTTTCCCAGCCCTTTGCGGAAACTCCGTCGCTGCCTGCTGCAGATTCCGCGAAGCCAGGCCGGCCCACAGATGTGGGGTCCGCGCATCAATGGTGCTAGGCTGTGCTAGGGCACAGATGGTGCATGCATGCCGTGCGGCAGAAATGGGACTCAGTTGCACCTGGCACCCTGGACCCCTAAAGCTTGGATCCTGAGCAGTGACAAGCTGCGAGCATTAAACCCTAGCCCGAAACCCGAAACCCGAAACCCTGGCCCTAAACCCTAAACCCTAAACCCTAACCCCAAACCCCAAACCCCAAACCCCAAACCCTAAACCCTAAACCCTAAACCCTAAACCCTAGACCCTAAACCCTAAACCCTAAACCCTAAACCCTAAACCCTAAACCTAAACCCTCAACCCTAAACCCTCAACCCTAAACCCTAAACCCTAAACCCTAAACAACAAAACCCTAAACAACAAAACCCTAAACCCTAGCCCTAAACCCTAAACCCCAAACTCACAGGACCGCGGCTGCCTTTGCCTAGAAGTCTGCTGCTGCCCTGGGCTGGCTCTTAGTGCGAACCGGCCCGGCATCTCAGCCCCAGGGATTCCATGCACGGTGATGCCTTCTAAGGTGCTTCTCCTGAGTGTCGGTAGGGTTTAGGGTTTAGGGTTTAGGGTTTAGGGTTTGGGGTTTGGGGTTTAGGGTTTAGGGTTTCGGGTTTAGGGTTTAGGGTTTAGGGTTTGGTGCTTCGGGATTAGGGCTAGATTCCTGGTCCTTGTTGCTCTCAAAGCTTCTTTTTCAGGTTTATGGTGCAGACACGCTTCGACAAAGAGAACACGCCTTGTGATGACTGCATCATCACGGGTACGTGCCTTTTCGTGCGGGGCCCATGTCGGGTCTCATTTCTATGGGTCCTACCCGTACCTACTTGAAGGTTAATTCATAGATGCAGAGTGTACGTAGTCCTAACCCTAAACCCCTCAACCCCTCAACCCCTCAACCCCTCAACCCCTCAACCCCTAAGCCCCTAAACCCCTAAACCCCTAAACCCCTCAACCCCTAAACCCCTAAACCCCTAAACCCCTAAACCCCTAAACCCCTAAACCCCTAAACCCCTAAACCCCTAAACCCCAAAACCCCAAAACCCCAAAAGCCTAAGCTCCCATTCAGGAACTGGCCCTGAAATTTAGGCACAGAATTCAGGAACCGCGTGGTGCAATTCAGGCCCAAGACACAGGTCCGAACTCAGGAACAACAGGACACAATTCAGGAACTAGGCGATCGCAATTCAGGGTTTAGGGTTTAGGGTTAAAACTGTGGCACATCAGGAGCCATTTCTGTCTAAATTTTCCGTGACGGTTCCTGAATTCGAGCTTTGCGGTTCCTGAATTGGCACAGGAGTTCCGAATCGGGTTCCGGAATCTCGCCTTGTCCTGAATTCTGGGACTGGAATCGGCCACACAGTTCCTGAATTTACTTCCCGAATTGGATGGTAGCCCATAGATGGACAGTTTCATAGGCCCCCGATGCTCGAGCCAGTCGAAGCTGCCTGAACCATGCATAGCTTTGCTAATTCAATGCGAGTTCGGGGTCCTTTTTTAGGGTTGTTTTGGTTTCCCTAAACCCTGAACCCTAAACCCTAAACCCTAAACCCTAAACCCTAAACCCTAAACCCTAAACCCTAAACCCTAAACCCTATAAACCCTAAACCTTAAATCTGCTCTGCTTGAGGTGTACATCTTGGACATTGCGCGGCCTGGGCCCTACGCTGCCCCGGCGCATGTAGGATTTGCATCGCCCGCCATTGATTCTCAACCCGAAGCTCAAAAAACACATGGAGTTTAGGGTTTTGGGTTTTGGGTTTAGGGTTCAGGGTTCGCGCATGCGCTGGAACGAAGTGTGAGCAAGAGCGGCTGCCTACAGCCGTTTTCTTGGAGGTGATGGGCAGGACGTATTGAATCCATCTCCTTTTTTCTTAAACCCTAAACCCCTAAACTCGAGGCCCCCGAAACTTTAAACCCTAGACCCTAAACCTTAAACCCGAAGCCCTAAACCCTAAACCCTGAACCCTAAACCCTAAACCCTAAACCCTAAACTCTAAACCCTAAACCCTAAACCCTAAACTCTAAACCCTAAACCCTAAACCCTAAACCCTAAACCCTAAACCCTAAACCCCAGGTGTTTCGTGGATGTGCCTCAAGAGCTTGACTTCATTGCGGACTGCTCCTCGGCTACGCAGAGGAACCCTGAGGGCCCAACACTCCTCCAGCAATCATTAGACGCGAACAAAACAAGTATACATATATGTATATTTATATATTTATTTATTTAATTGTTTTTTTTTATTCATTTTTATTTATTTATACATATTATGTGATTTTTTGTTTTGTTTTAAATATTGTGATTTCCTGAGGTTTAGGGTTTGGGGTTCAGGGGTGGGGTGCGTATTCTTATGAACTAGGCGCTGTCCTTTCGTTATCATGAATGAAGGGTCTATTCCTTGATTAAGGGGCGGGTCGCAAAACCCTACAAGGCCTGCAAACCCAAAACTCTAAATCCAAGCAGCAAAAACCCAAGGATCCTAAACCCTCAGCCCGTACCTGAAAGCCTAAACCCCAAAACCCTAATAAGCCCCCGAAACCCAGAACCCTAAATCCCAGACCCCTCATAAAGCCCCAGAACCCCAGTCCTAAAGCCCGACAATCCGAAAGCCCGAAATCCTAAACACCCACATCCTAAAAACTCGAAGATCCGAACACCCGAAGTCCTAAACCCTAAGCCCCAAACCCTATGTGAAACCCTAAACCCTAAACCCTAAACCCTAAACCCTAAACCCTAAACCCTAAACCCTAAACCCTAAACCCTAAACCCTAAACCCTAAACCCTAGAAACCCAACCCAGGTCTGGTCCTCACCGTCTCAGGATGCATGCATGCCCAACAGCAGATGCTGGGCCGTGCTTTTGAAAAACGTTTGCTTGCCCTTTGGGGTTTCGGTTTAGGGTTTAGGGTTTAGGGTTTAGGGTTTAGGGTTTAGGGTTTAGGGTTTAGGGTTTAGGGTTTAGGGTTTAGGGTTTAGGGTTTAGGGTTTAGGGTGTAGGGTTCAAGCATGTCGACAGCGCACCACCCAGGATAGAGATCAATGAGATCAAGAAGAACGGGTATCAAGGCCCGGGCCTCTGGGATGTAGGGCTCCGAAAGGGAGCGCCATGAGCATGTCCCAAGGCGCGGGGTCTACTCATGAAGGGTTTAAGGTTTAGGGTTTAGGGTTTAGGGTTTAAGGTTTAGGGTTTAGGGTTTGGGGCTTTCTGGGCCCAGCGGCAGGCATGCCGATGCTGATCATGAATGCGATGCCGCCTTCACAGCAGCTGATGTTCCAGAAGGCCGGGGACTGTCAGACGGTTCAGGTTTGGGGTTGTGTCTTGGCTTTCTTCTGGCTGGCTCTTAGGACTTTAGCAGCTTTTTGGGTTTTTGTAGAAACTACAATAAGGAGCCTGAAAGTTAGATTTGCAGGAGGGGTTCAGAATTCAGCGAAGTTGTCAAGGGACTCATAAAGGGGGGACCCTTAGAAGGGACCTTAGGGATTATTTAGGGGCTACTTAGGTACGCCGGGACCATATAAGGTGTATCTAGGGGATGTAGACGGGCTATAGAGGGGAAGAAGATTAAGGGTCCCTTCTAGGGTCCCTCAACCCTCAACCCTCAACCCTAAACCCTAAACCCTAAACCCTAAACCAAACCCTAAACCCTTATAAACCCTAAACCCTAAACCCTAAACCCTAAACCCTAAACCCTAAACCCTAAACCCTAAACCCTAAACCCTAAACCCTAAACCCTAAACCCTAAACCCTAAACCCTATTTTGTCTTTAGGGTAAGCTTCCCTCAGCTCATGCTTTGCCGCGAGTTGATCAAATTCTGGAGGTGGACATGCATGGCGGAGGGGGTGGCATGCCTCCATCCATGGTTGGGGCGCCCCAGCCACAGTGCCCGGGCGGCAGAGGGGGGTTTAGGGTTTAGGGTTTAGGGTTTAGGGTTTGGGGTTTGGGGTTTAGGGTTTAGGGGTCACCCGATGTTATTTCAGATCATGAAATATGTCACTGCCTCATTTTTCTTATCAGATATTGTTATGTCGTATGAAGTATTATTGAGTTGTACTATATGTTTTTGTTGTATATGTAAATATTATATCTTATTTGTAGTGTATTTGTAGAAGCCCTAAACCCTAAACCCTGTGGCTGCGCACGCGTCTTCAGACCAGACGGAGCCGAGGTACATGCAGCAGTATCAGCCGCTCCGCTGCAAGATGCACCGATGTCCCTAAACCTTACAGACACTGGACCCTAGAAACCCTAAACTCCAAACCCCAAACCCTAGACCCAAAACCCTAAACCCCAAACCCTAGACCCAAAACCCTAAACCCCAAACCCCAAACCCCAAACCCCAAACCCCAAACCCCAAACCCCAAACCCCAAACCCCAAACCCTAAACCCTAAACCCTAAACCCTAAACCCTAAACCCTAAACCCTAAACCCTAAACCCTGAACCCTGAACCCTGAACCCAAACCCTAAACCCCATCAGCATGTCCAGGCCCTTCTTTATCTTAACTTTCCATCACTTTGCTGCTATTTTAAAGAACCCCCGCCAAAAAACAAAAACAAAAAGAAAAAAACAACACACACACACACAAAACATTTTTTCCTTATAAGATTTGTTTACATCTTTTTCGGGGTTCTTCAGCAATTCCCAGAGACTCCAATACCCGTTAATTAAGGAAAATCCTAATGGGGTTCCTTATACGGTTTAAGGAATATTCCGTAAATTAAGGCGTAGAGTCTCTCGGTTAGTAGTTGGAGACTGGGGACCTCCGACGCAGCCCTAAACCCTAAACCCTAAACCCTAAGCCCTAACCCTAACCCCTACACCCTACACCCTACACCCTAAACCCTAAACCCTAAACTCTAAAGAGGCCAGGGATGCCACCCGGCGGAGCACCGCCCGTGCAGGCGCGCGAAGTGGCGCGGTTTGGCCGTCCTTCCGGGTTTAGGGTTTAGGGTTTAGGGTTAGGGTTTAGGGTTTAGGGTTTAGGGTTTAGGGTTTAGGGTTTAGGGTTTAGGTTTAAGGTTTAGGGTTTAGGGTTTAGGGTTAGGGCTAGGGTTTAGGGACGTATGCTTTCAAAGACAAGTTTTAAATACGCCCAGCTCCAAACCCTGAGCTTGAGGGCGGCCTTACCCCCGAAATAGCCCTATAGAACCCAGAGAAACACGAATTTGTTAGAGGGCCCTTCAATCCCTAAACCCTAAACCCTAAACCCTAAACCCTAACCCACCCCCGCGAGTTCCTAGATGGAGGTGGGGACGTTTTGGGAATCTTGAAGGGTACTTGCGAGGGTTTAGGGTTTCGGGTTTAGGGTTTAGGGTTTAGGGTTTAGGGGGTCGATCGGAATGCTCCCGCCCTTGGAGGTATTCAGACCTCCCAAGGGCGCTGCGAAGCTTTAAGCGTTTAGGCTGCCATGCTAGGTCTTGTGGCTAAGGCTTGTTCAGTTTGTCAAAGGGAACCCTAAACCCTAAGCCCTAAACCCTAAACCGCAAACCGAAAAACTAGGCATTGAGTGTGGTAGTCGGACATCCCTTGCCTGGCTTGCAGATCAGCTGCGGAGCATGCCGGCCGCGTGCTTGGAGGGCTGATGCGGACTTCTGTGCTGAATGAGCCATGACGGGGGTGCTGTGTGTGTGCTTGGATATGGAGGGTGATTGCGTAGACGCGACGTTTCCATGTTGGTGCTGCTAGCTCGGCTGAAGCTGCTGCCTGCGTTGCTGCTGCTGCTGCTGCTGCTTGGTGGTGGCGGTGGTGGTGGTGGTGCTGCTGCTGCTGCAGTGCTGCTGTTTTTTAGTGGGTGGTGGGTGGCAGACTCATAGACTCATGGACCCAGAATGGGGTGTGCCTGCAGCTTCGGTTTCCCCCACCTGCCAAGGCAGGTATTCGGCGCACCTGGACGCGGGATGGTGGTGGCGAGCCCAGTGTATTGTCAACTGCCAGCACAGTTGTCTTGCTCTTGCTGAATAACTTGGGATGTTCCCCCTTGTACTCGCAGTCCTTACTAGGGATGATAATAGGGGGTACTATAATCCCTATTAAGGGCTGTTAGTATGAGGGGAATATCGCAATGCATAACACTGCAAATGGTGCAGGTTGCGTGCCCCTTTTGTCAGACACAAAACCAGACCTGAGCTATCATGCCGATGCGACCTTCTGCAAGAATCCCTGTTTCGTCCAGTTTCGCAGAGTCTCGGCATTCCACCACATTGTGGGGGTATGCCGGTTGTGCCCTCCTCAACACTTCAGTTACTACCCCAAAATGTTATACATTATACAGGAACCCCGAAAAACCCCAACCCTAAACCCTACACCCCGGCCCAAGAGCACACAACCCCATTGTCGGAAACCTCCATTTCTCAACTGAGCGAGATGGTTGCACGACTCGGATCTGGACCAGCACGATTCACGCACAAGGGGTGTCTTTTGGGGCAGCACAGGCAGGCAGAAACATGTAAACACACATGTGGGGGGTTGTTCTACAGGTCCTTTCAAGGAATGGACCACGGGATAAGAGGCCCTGGAACGGGCTTGTGGTTACTTTGAGTGGGTCGTGCCACCATAATGTTGTGGCCTGTTGGGGTCCTTATGACAAGGATGCCGTACTGCGTAGGGGGCAAGAAGAGAAGGGACCCTACGTTAGAGAACGAAAACCCTACGTATCAGTACCCATGAACCTCCAAGTAGGAGCAGGACCTAAACCCTAAACCCTAAACCCTAAACCCTAAACCCTAAACCCTAAACCCTAAACCCTAAACCCTAAACCCTAAACCCGAAACCTGAAACCTGAAACCTGAAACCCTAAACCCTAAACCCTAAACCCTAAACCCTAAACCCTAAACCCTAAACCCTAAACCCTAAACCCTAAACCCTAAACCCTAAACCCTAAACCCTAAACCCTAAGCCGGGTGTGAAGATGGCTTCATGGGGTTCGTCACATGCCACGCTGCCCGCTTTTCACTGATCCTGCGAGCGCGAAGCGCGACGCCAGGACAGCCTCCATAAGACTGCAAGCAGCATCCCTAAACCCTAAACCAGAAACCCTAAACCCTAAACCCTAAGACCCGTTACCCGTTTAGTGAGCTGTCTGCCAGGAGCACTTTTCCCATGAGCCGGAAAATCCCCAGCTTCAGCCCGGAGTCCTTGACCTTGCTTGGTGGTGTCACAAGCGGGTAGTTCTCTAAAATTAGGGTCCTTTTGCCCTAAACCCTAAACCCCTAAACCCCTAAACCCCTAAACCCCTAGACCCCTAAACCCTAAACCCCCCCAAACCCCTAAACCCCTAAACCCCTAAACCCCTAAACCCCCAAACCCCTAAACCCCTGAACCCCTAAACCCTAAACCGTAAACCCTAAACCCTAAACCCTAAGCCCTAAACCCTAAACCCTAAACCCTAAAGCCGGGGCACTTCTTTCAAAACGGGACCCTAATTTGGAGAATGGCCCGAGTGCGTTTTGCTTGGGGCCAGGCGGCCTTTCGAAGGCACTGCCGAAGGGAGCATTGGCAGACAAAGTTACTTCAAGGGTTTAGGGTTTAGGGTTTAGAGTTTAGGGTTTAGGGTTTAGGGTGTAGGGTTTAGGGTAATTCGGAGATGTTTGCTTTCGTCTTGGCATCCTGCGGCGAGCTGCCGACTTCCTTTCGTCCAAGGAGGGGCGCGTTGCCCCCAAAGAGCCCCAAAACGCATTGTTGCTCCTTCTGAACAAGTTACCACTACCGAAACCTTAGCCTAAACCCTAAACCCTAAACCCTAAACCCTAAACCCTAAACCCTAAACCCTAAACCCTAAACCCTAAACCCTAAACCCTAAACCCTAAACCCTAAACCCTAAACCGCAGGGCTTTGTCGTCCAATGATGTCCGATGCGCGCCATTGTTGGTACAGTGGCAGACTCGGCAGACCGTACAGTACCAAAGCGGCACCCTGGCCGCGAAGCAACTTCCGAGAAGAAGAATGGTGTCTTGTGTTTCCTGTGGTGTGCGCTTCTTCTACCCTAAACCCTAACCCCAAACCCTAAATGAAGGTTCTTCCAAACTGGTCTCCGGACAGGTACTTGTGCAACCAGCATTGCGTACAAGGAGGGGAGCCTAAATAGACAAGCCCCCCTCCCCCTCCCCCACGTTCTTCTCGATTGCGGAGTTTGGCGTTAGATTTCAGAGCCCAATGCCGTTTACTCAGGAACAGACCTTAAGCAACAAGGTGGGCTCTTATTTCGGAACGAAGGTCTAAACCCTAGTTAAGCCCTAAACCCTAAACCCCAAACCCTATACCCTAAACCCTAAACCCTAAACCCTGAACCCTGAACCCTAAACCTTAGCGAAGGGCTTTAGCCCCCTCCCCCTATTAAAAGGGAAGGGAACCTATCGAAGAGGCCTCACCCAGCTCGCCCGGGCGCCGCGGTCCCAGTTCTTCAAGGGTCCAGTTGCGGAAATTGGGGTTTAGGGTTTAGGGGTTAAGGTTTAGGGTTTAGGGTTTCGGGTTTCGGCTGAGTCTTGGTTTTATCGGGTCCAGGGTTGAGGGTTTCGGTTTCATGCTGCCATTCGGCTACGGACCCCAAAGAGTTCAAAAGCTAGCGATCCCTCTATGTCTCTTACAAGGGATATCTAGTATTTTTAGGGTCCTCACAAGGGTCCTTTACCTTCTTTGAAGGCTTCCGAAGTATGGGCTTCCTGGGCTTTATCGCCTAAACCCTAAACCCTAAGACCCTAGACCCTAAACCCTAAACCCTAAACCCTAAATTTAAGAGCCTCCGGCTCAAGCCGCCGACCCCGCCGGAGCATTGTTCAGGGCTCAAGCGGCGCAGCGTGCCCCGGCGCCAAACCCTAAACCCAAACCCGACCCTAAACCCTACAGCCGAAACCCTAAACCCTACAGCCTAACCTAAAGCCTCAGCCCTAAAGCCGAACCCTAAACCCCAAAGTAAAGCCTAAACCGAAACCGGAACCCTAAACCCCGGAAGCCCAAACCGAGGACAGCCCAACGACCACAGGCTTAGGGTTAAGGGTGGGAGGGCTTAGGGTTTAGGGTTTAGGGTGTAGGTTAAGTTTTTATTGGAAAGGAAGGGGGGAAGGGAGGAGGGGGGGGTGGGGGGGGGGGGGGGGGGGCAGGGGCGGGTGGGGGAGGGGGGGGGGGGGAGGGGGGGGAGGGGGGAGGGGGGGCTGGAGGGGGTAAACCTAAACCCTAAACCCTAAACCCTAAACCCTAAACCCTAAACCCTAAACCCTAAACCCTAAACTAAACCCTAAACCCTAAACCCTAAACCCTAAACCCTAAACCCTAAACCCTAAACCCTAAACCCTAAACCCTAAACCCTAAACCCTAAACCCTAAACCCTAACCTTGCCGGTGACACCTCACAGCCGATATCGACTTGGGCTCTCTTCCTGGGTCCTTGCCGGTAGTTTTGGCGTGGGCCTATAGGGTGCAGGGCGGAATGGAGGATGTGTGGACGCACTACTGGCCCTCGTGCTCGCGGCTGTGCTCTAGGACCCACTGCCGTCTAGCCTGCGCGCCTTCGGCGTCTGTGCGGGCATTGGTGAGTCCGCGGCTGCTTGCGCGGGGCGGACAGTCAGGGCCCTCGAACCTTTGCCGGAGGGTCGCCAATGACGCTTGCGGAGGCTCCCTGAGATGGTGGGAGGGGACGGCGCCCTTAGGCAGCAGTGCCCTGCGTGCCGAGTCCATCCATCCATCCATCCAAACCCTAAACCCTAAACCCTAAACCTTAAACCCTAAACCCTAAACCGTAAACTCTAAACCCGAAACCCTAAACCGGACTCTGTCCTTTGTTGCGAGGAAGCTCTCGGGCTCTGTCGACACCTTGGGGTGACATGGAGGCTGCTGCCATGTGTCCCCACCAGCACACGCACATCCAGGTTTGGGGTTTAGGGTTTAGGGTTTGGGGTTTGGGGTTTAGGGTTTGGGGTTTAGGGACCTTCTTCGGTTCAGGGGCTACAGGGGAAGTAAGGACAGCTTATCACTGTCCAACATGCCGACGGGGTCAGAATGCTCGAGCCAGGCTGCCAGGCCCGAGTCCACGCCGCAATCGTGCTTCTGCCTGAGTGGTTTAGGGTTTAGGGTTTAGGGTTTAGGGTTTAGGGTTTAGGGTTTAGGGTTTAGGGTTTAGGGTTTAGGGTTTAGGGTTTAGGGTTTAGGGTTTAGGGTTTAGGGCGACGCGCAGCTCAAGCGGAGAGTCGGGGTCGTGCTGTGTGGCGTACGGATTGCCGTCGGTGTTGATGTTTCTTGTCGTTTGAACATCTTGACAAGAAGCCTAAGGTTCAACCCCAAACCCTAAACCCTAAACCCTAAACCCTAAACCCTAAACCCTAAACCCTAAACCCTAAACCCTAAACCCTAAGCCCTAAACCCTAAACCCTAAACCCGAAACCCTAAACCCCAAACCCTAAACCCTAAACCCTAAGCCCTTAAGCCCTGAATCCTGAACCCTGAACCCTGAACCCTAAACCCTGAACCCTAAACGAAGCCTCTCCCGTGCTTAGGCTCTGAGCTCGCCAGCCCCTCGCAGCTAAACTCAGCGCTGGCGGAGATCCGACGTAGCGAGGCGGGTGCTTTGCGTGGGTCAACATTCAACATTGAAAGTGAGCTTAGGGTTTAGGGTTTAGGGTTTAGTAGGCTTTAGGGTTTAGGGTTAAGTAGGGTTTAGGGTTTAGGGTTAGGGGTTTGGGGTTTGGGGTTTAGGGTTTAGGGCTAAAGTCAAGGCCCTACTTCCTTTCTTAACGTGATAGCGCCAGAACATGCAATCGTCGGTTGGTTTTGGTTTCGGTCAAGGGTTTACCCTCAAGTTGCCTTCGCAGTTCCGCTGATATTAGATGTTTCGGCAGGAGATTGGGACCCATTTTCACGAATACTTTTCAGAGGGGTTCAATGCCGCCCAAATTCCCCACAAATAACTTCTCTCGCCTTCTATTCCCCACTAAAAACTCAGCGCAGGCCATGTCCACCAACACGCCCCCGCTCAGCCCGAATGCTTCTGGGCAGAGCCTCTTGAGGCCTGAGCTTCAGGGTTTAGGGTTTAGGGTTTCGGGTTTAGGGTTTAGGGTTTAGGGTTTTAGGGTTTTAGGGTTTCGGGTGTCGGGTTTCAACTCTGGAGGCGAGTGTCGGCAGAGACCTGAGGATTTTGCCTTGTTCGTCCCTATCTCAGGATACGAGTCCGCTCATTATTGGGCCCCAAGCCCCAAAACCCCAGCACCATGAAGAGTTTCGGGCATGGGGTTTGGGGTTTAGGGTTTAAAGTGCTACTTGGGGGTAAACTACTAGCTAAAGAACCACCCCAAAAAAGAATTGTAATGCCTACATATTATTGTCCTTATAAGGAATAATGTTTTTTCGTTCTTTTTTTTTTTTTTTTGGGGGGGGGGGGGGGCGGGGGGGCGGTTTAAGCAAATCATAGTAGTACACTCCAAAGGGGGCGCTGAACGTTAAAGCATCTCAAACTGACGGGCAGCAAACCCCAACCCTAAACCCTAGCCCCCCTTCCCTGCTCTTGCACCCCAAACCCTAAGCCCCAAGCCCTAAGCCCTAAGCCCTAAACCCTAAACGCTCTGGTTCCCTATAGCAGGTCAGGACCCTAAACCCTAAACTCTTAACCCTAATCCTAGACCCTAAACCCTAAACCCTAAACCCTAAACTCTAAACCCTAATCCTAAACCCGAAGTGCACAAAGTCCCTCAGCATTTTTTGCCGCTTGAGCTGTGTTGGCTCGAGTTGGAGCCCTTGATCCCATGGAAGGACTAGCACGATGGCGGCGCAAACCCATAGCTCAGTAATTCTATGCTACTGTACTCTACTACTATACTGCGATCTTCCCATTTGCTAGAGTTATCTATAGTACTATGCTGCTAGGCTATGGCATTATGTAGTGATTTGCAGATCCCTCTTCACTCCTGAACATGTCCCAGAATGCACCCAGAGGGTGGAGAGGAGGACTGGGTGCCGAGAAGTTTGGGTTTAGGGTTTAGGGTTTAGGGTTTAGGGTTTAGGGTTTAGGGTTTAGGGTTTAGGGTTTAGGGTTTAGGGTTTAGGGTTTAGGGTTTAGGGTTTAGGGTTTAGGGTTCAGTTTTTTTTGGAGCACGGGGCTACTACGCAGCAGGCCAGCTCCAAATTACTCTCAACAACTTTCGAATCTCGTGTACTGCGCTGAGAACCTGGAAGGAGGAGACATGGAGTGATTTCCTCTTCTGGGCAGAGTCCCATGGTGCGCTTGGCTTGGAACAAGTGTCGCTCAGTCGCACAGCACAAGACCAGTCAGAGCGACTTCTTCATGCAAGCCCTAAACCCTAAACCCTGAACCCAAAACCCTAATCTTCAGGAAAATCGCCCATGTGGCGAAAGAGCATGGGCCAGTGCGCGGACTTGTTGCTGCAAGCGAGGCCTTGCGGCCCAGCGCGGCCTAGACAAAGCCAGCACTCTTAGCAACGACATGGGTGGTTGTCAAAATTGTGGCCCCTTTTTGGATCCCTATTAGAATACGGCACCCTATAAACCCTATAAACTCTATAAACCCTTATAAACCCTATAAACCCTATAAACCCTATAAACCCTATAAACCCTATAAACCCTATCAACCCTAAAAACCCTAAACCCCATAGGGTATCCCAAAAGGGACCCGAGAGCCACCCACATCGACGTGATGTCGCGGTTTTTTCGGAGGCCTCGGCTGCTGTGACGGTCAAGACTTCAAAGCCCAGTAGCCATATTACAACAATCAGGGTACCCTTTTTTGGGGGGGTTGAGTACTTTAGCAAGGGAACCTAGATTAGCCTAAACAACAAAAGGGGGCAACAACAAGGGGCACAACACGGAACTACCAAGAAGATACTAGAGAACGTGCTGAGTCTTGAGGTCACTTCCCCCATCATCTTGCCTCGAACTCTGCTGCTCACCCTAAACCCTAAACCCTAAACCCTAAACCCTAAACCCTAAACCCTAAACCCTAAACCCTAAACCCTAAACCCTAAACCCTAAACCCTAAACCCTAATGGAGGTCACTTCCCCCATCATCTTGCCTCGAGCTCTGCTGCTCATGGCCAACTCTGAGACAGAGCTGGCTGTCGAGCTGGCTTTGGAGAAGCACAGGACGGAGCTGTTGGGGTTTAGGGTTTAGGGTTTAGGGTTTAGGGTTTAGGGTTTAGGGTTTAGGCCTCAGGGTATTGGGAACCCTATACCCTGTACGGCTAGAATCCCTAGGGTGCATGCCCTGAACCATTCTTGTGGTTCATATCGGCCCTGGGGATGGCTCGCCGGAGGATGCTCAGTGGACTGGACAGTTTCTGGTCTCCCTGGATACGCCTTCTGCCACAAAAGGCCACGGTGATGCCAGCGGAGGGTTTAGGGTTTAGGGTTTGGGGTTTAGGGTTTAGGGTTTAGGGTATCACAGTTGAGCGTGATGCACGTTACATGCTGTAGGTGCCGGCCAGGCAGACCTGCAGCAGTACCACATTGCTTATGCTTCTGGCCAGCAATCCTCACGACAGTAGCTTCGAGAAGTGGCTACCATGCAGCCAAGTCTTCTTCCACCATGCATACGCCATGTGTGTACGAATGCAGGCTGCTGCCCCCGACCCCTCTTGAGACGTGTCCAAAACCCTAGTCTGACCTGGGCATTTCCCAAAAGCCCGCTTGTCCCCATGTAGAATAGAAGCTAAAACCACCTAAAGGGAACGAGAAAAAGGCCCTATTTTCGCGGAAACCCCCCCATCTGAGGCTTCTCAAGAGGTGCTGGATGCTTTTGCAGAGCCTATATCCCCCTTGAGAACTATTTTTTGTTTATATAAAACCCAAGAGGGTTTAGGGTTTAGGGTTTAGGGTTTAGGGCTATCTTTATAAAGGTTCTAAGGGGAGTATAGGAGCTGCCGGTGGTCGCTCGCACCCGAGCCTGGCATCGAAGCCTGGCACAGCGATGGGACGCCGAGGCCCAGAGCTGGCAGCAGCAGCGCGCCGCGGAGCCGCCTGGTGGCGCTTTTTGCTGCCTTGCTTGAGGTTTAGGGTTAGGGTTTAGGGTTTAGGGTTTAGGGTTTAGGGTTTAGGGTTTAGGGTTTAGGGTTTAGGGAGGTACATGGGTAGTTATAAGGCAGGTAAGAAGGGCCTTAGATCAGGTTGTCACCATGGTTACCCGACCTACAACCCCACTTATAACTACCCACTGAACCTTTAAGTGTTTCAGGGCTTTTGTGGTTGAGCAGCCCTAAACCCTAAACCCTAAACCCTAAACCCTAAACCCTAAACCCTAAACCCTAAACCCTAAACCCTAAACCCTAAACCCTAAACCCTAAACCCTAAACCCTAAACCCTAAACCCTAACACTAAACCCTAAACCCTAAACCCTAAACCCTAAACCCTAAACCGTCCGGATGACAGCTCTCATAGCTCTCCTGACCCCGCAAACTCTACGCCTGCAGCGCAGAGCAGATGCGCGGGCCTGCTGGAGGGTAGGGGGGGTTAGGGTTACTAGGGTTTAGGGTTTAGCGTTCTAGGGTTTAGGGTTTAGGGTTTAGGGTTTCGGGTTTCGGGTTTGTCTTCAACTTCGGAAAAACACTGTCAGCCAAAGCCTGAGGTACAGGTAAGTCCAAACCCGAACTTGAGAAACAGATTTCGACCTCTGGCGAACGACACTTTTGGAGGCTTGACTCCCGAGCAGAGTGCGTTCTTACCACGACGCAGTTTAGGTGCACACTGACAAGCTTTACAACTGGTCCTTGCGTCTGCAGTCCGGCGGAAAGAAAATCTTCAGAGGGCCAGGGGCCCTGTTCAGGGGAGCTTCCCGAATCCAGAAAGCTCCGGAATTTCTGCAGGTCAGTCCAGCAGAAAATGTTAGCTGGCGCCTTCAGGAAAGCTCTTGGGAGCTTGGATGCTGTGAGGTTCTTACGACCCTAAACCCTAAACCCTAAACCCTAAACCCTAAACCCTAAACCCTAAACCCTAAACCCTAAACCCTAAACCCTAAACCCTAAACTTGCCTTCCCTCCATGCTGCAGTGTTTTTTTAGGCGCCTTCATTGGCTGGTAGTCCCCACACAAGACTGGAGAGCTGTCTGCCTTGGGTGGGAAGCCTTTCCGGGGCACGGCGAGGGCCTATCCAAATCGGCCAAAGAAGCAACGAAAAAACTCGGAGGAACCCTAACCCTAAACCCTAAACCCTAAACCCCAAACCCTAAACCCTAAACCCTAAACCCTAAGCCATCCCCTGAAGAACCAGGCCTCATGGCCTTAGTGGATATGTAGGCACAGTGGCCTCTGGCTCAGGATGGGCCTTGGGGAGCTGACCTACGACGACTTTCTTTGGGCTTCCACGGTGGCTTGGTAGCCCAGTAGTACCCTTTACCTTTTTGTTTTTGGTCATGGTTTCCCTTATAAAAGAACCAACCCAAAAAAGGGTGCCCTTATTATAATATGGATACTGGGCTACCAAGGTGGTGAAGACGAGGGTGTACTTGCCTCCACCAATGCTCCTTGGAAGCTGTTGCTCAATCGCTGAAGTTTCCTTGTTTACCAACACCTGTCTCCATGAAATTGAGAGAGTTTGCGCAATACGTGATGGCTTGTGCGTTCGCGCATGCGGGTCAGGCGTGCATGTGCGCATGCATGGGTGGGTGGGTTGGGTGGCTGTGTTCTTATGAGGGTTTGCATGCGTGTTTGCGAGAATCAGCACTACGATTCCAGCTATTAGATTGACGGTCATGTCCCCCATGGGTGATCATGACTTTTCATGTACAGCAGTGGACGTTTGCCACAGCCCCCATGCAGCAGTGGCTGTCTGCAGCTCACATGTTCCTCTGAACGGGTGCATCACGTCCTGATTCTTGTAGCATGTGCCTGGGCATATCTCGGCTTACATTTCGTATCGGATCATTTTAATTGTACGTGGACTTCGTCTTGGTGCCTGTCCTTTCCTATTGCGCCATCCACAAGTTCCCTAGGAGATTCATCTAACACACTACATATGCTGACATAAGCGTGTACGCTTGTAAGTACACCCGACTGAAGAGGGTGATTTGTCAGTGGTGGCAGCAGGGCTAGACGTCTGCCACCAGCAAAAAGAATAACCAGAATATTCTAATAAATAAGAAGAAGAAGAATAATAATAATAACCAATCCCTGCCATGTGTAGCTGCTAAGCGATACAGTCATCACCATCGCTGGCGCTCTTGTTGCATCCCTTCCCTTCTCAACACCGCTTGGAGCTTGCGCCCTAAACCCTAAACCCTAAACCCTAAACCCTAAGCCCTTAACCCTAAACCCTTAACCCTTAACCCTTAACCCTTAACTCTTAACCCTTAAACCCTAAACCCTAAACCGTGCTGCTCAGACAGGACTTCTACTTACTCGGGGCCTTAGAATCGAAATGTAACGAGCGTGAATCAAAACAGTCACGAGCTGGCCCGTGCAGGGCTTTGGCCCAGCACTTCTCAGCTTGAATGTTTAGGGTTTAGGGTCAGGGTTTAGGGTTTAGGGTTTAGGGTTTAGGGTTTAGGGTTTAGGGTTTAGGGTTTAGGGTTTAGGGTTTGGGGATTAGGGATGAGGGACACGTGCACCAATGTCCACTTGCCAGCTGAGGTATTGCTTCATGCCACTGGCGGACATGATGAACACAGAGCCCAATCCAAACATGGACGTGTACGACAGCGCCCTGGTCTGTTGTGCTGAGAAGGCAGACAGTCAGCTTCTATCATAGAAGATCGCTGTTTGAACAAAAGCTCGAATATCCAGAGGCTAGATGTGCCTACCCATGTAGCCTTCCCCCGTGCTCGCTTCTTCAAGCACAGAGCATATCTTGAGCTTGGGCCAGAGGCTTGGAAACAGACGCTTCCAACGGCACGGAGTACTATGGGATCCTCGTGCGAGATGACTGCCACGTTTGCGCTGGGCAAGAACTGACACAGGAGCCACCCTAAACCCTAAACCCTAAACCCTAAACCCTAAACCCTAAACCCTAAACCCTAAACCCGAAACCCTAAACCCTAAACCCTAAACCCTCCGAGCGCGTGCAACCCATGCCTTGCTCACACGCCATGCAATGTGGGCGTTCGTTCGGAACACTTAGGGGCTGGGTAGCTAACCCTAAACCCTAAACCCTAAACCCTAAACCCTAGACCCTAAACCCTAAACCCTAAACCCTTTTTGTGTCTGTATAGCATCCTGCTATATATATATATATATATATATATAAGAGGCTAACCTTTTTTGGGGGGCTGGGGTGTTTAGGGTGTTCCCTAAAGGTAACGTGGGCGGTCCTGAGGGAAAGTAGATACCTGCGGCGCCAGGCCTACCGCCCGGTCGACAACTCCGAGCGATTGTTCAGGCCCATCCCCCGTGTTCATGTGGGTTATTATTATTATTCATATTACTATTATTATTACTACTATTATTATGATTGTTATTGTTATTGTTATTATTATTATTATGTATTAGAACATTCTGGTTATTCTTTCAGTATGATGGTTACTATAATTCGCATGGTTATTGATCATTGTTATTATTCGTATTAGTACAATGGTCGCTAGTCGTATTTTATGGTGCTTAGAATGCATTCGCACCCGAAATTCTTGGACTCGTCCTCGTGCCCGACTCATGCCACTGCCTCGTTCTTTGCCCTAAACCCTAAACCCTAAACCCTGAACCCTAAACCCTCAACCCTCAACCCTAAACCCTCAACCCTCAACCCTAAAACCCTAAAACCCTAAACCCTAAACCCTAAACCCCTAAACCCCTAAACCCCTAAACCCCGAACCCTGAACCCTCGCAGGGGCGGCTTCATTCTGGAGAACAACCCTGTGCCGGTCACGCGGCTCCCAGCTGAGAGCTGCAAAGCGATGATGGCAGCCGGGGTCTCTTCAGGCCATGAGCAGAATTGGGGTTTAGGGTTTAGGGTTTAGGGTTTAGGGCTAGGGTTTAGGGTTGGGGGTTTAGGGTTTAGTGTTTAGGAAAATAAGCTAGGACCGGGAGTAGGCCCTTTTTCCGTTTTTTCGGGTTGGGGTTCCCTTATGATGCCCTTAAAACCAAAAAGGGCACCCTTTTTATTCCTAGGTTACTCCCGGGTCTAGTAAGGGACCCTTACTATAGATCCCCAAATAGTAGGATTCCCTTCTTAAAGAGGACCCAATAAGGTAATCTTAGTTTCGGAACCCGGCACTTGGAGAAGTCTGGCACGGGTTGCCACGCTTCGAGTCTGGGGCCCTAATGGTACCAGCTGCAACCTCACCACGGTGCGAGACGTGCACCCCAAAACCAAGATTTAGGGTTTAGGGTTTAGGGTTTAGGGTTTAGGGTTTAGGTCAAAAGCACGTACTGTGCATGAGTGAGGTTTCCCTTACGCTGTAGGAAGGCACGGGTTGATCTAGCGCAAGGCCTTTGCCAGTACTCTGAACCGAAACCCTAAACCCTAAACCTTAAACCCTAAACCCTATACGATAGTTTTAGAGACCCCCAAGGCCCATGGGGGAGTCATCTTAGCCCGTCGCCCTGCCCAGCCTCGCCCCTTGTGACCTCGCTGCGGCGGCTGGCGGCTGAGCACGCTGTGGCCCCGCAGGCCCGGACGAAAATCCTTGGGAGATCGGATGCTTCTCAAATTCTCGGACCAGTAACTACTAATCGCTTCAGAACACCGAAAAAAGTCAAGATATTCTTCCTTATTAAGGGTAATATAGGGATTATTATTCTTTATTCTTTGGGGGGTTCTTAAGCAAATAGTAGGTACAGAGTGCAGGGAGAGAGTGTGATAGGCCTTGTTTTTTTGGCCTGCAGATCCGAATAATCCCCTAAACCCTGAACCCTAACCCTAAACCCTAAACCCTAAACCCTAAACCCTAAACCTAAACCCTAAACCCTAAATCCTAAACCCGAAACCCGAAACCCGAAACCCTAAACCCTAAACCCTAAACTCCATGACAGGCCGACTCCAGACTGGCTGAGACCGGAGAAGGTGCCGAGACGTGAGAGCACACGTTTCGGACGCAAGCTCTATATCCCCCTTGGGAATTATTTTACTTATTTTTGTTTTACATAAACCCCAAGAGGATATGAACAAAACTGTTTTTATTAAGTTTTGTTTATATAAACCCCAAGAGGATATTAGAAACATTATGTTTTATTAAGGATCTAAGGGGAGAAAAGAGCTTGCGTCAAGTCCAACGGTCGGGGTCGTGCGCCAAAGTGCGCGCAGCAGGCCGGATGATGTTCTACACACTTCATCCAGATTTAAACTGGACAGTTGAGCAAGCAGGTCAAACATGACGTGCACTGGTCTGGTGCTGAACGAGGGAAGTTGCAAGGATCAGCCTCTTGATGTGTCTCTGTTGAACAGATGATCTCGGTCCAGCTCGATGTAGCACGCGTCGGCTGTGGCCGGACATTCTTGAAAGGAAGTTTCTGCATAAGCTGTCCCAGAATGCGCAAACTTGTCAGAACTCCCTAAACCCCAAACCCCAAACCCTAAACCCTAAACCCTAAACCCCAAACCCTAAACCCTAAACCTTAAACCCTAAACCCTAAACCCTAAATCCAAAACCTTCAAAATGAGAGAGAGCCCATGAGCTCTTGTGGGGAGGCTCGAGGCGGCTCCTTCAGCGCCTGCGGAGTCGCGGCTTCCTTCCCAGGACCCTCAGGGTTTAGGGTTAGGGTTTAGGGTTTAGGGTTTAGGGTTTAGGGTTTAGGGTTTAGGGTTTAGGGTTTAGGGTTTAGGGTTTAGGGTTTAGGGTTTAGGGTTTAGGGTTTAGGGTTTAGGGTTTAAGTGTAGGGTTTTAGGGGGTTTAAGGCTTCGGCGTTTCGGGCTTTGGGTTTGAGGGGTGCTAGGGCTTTTTAGGGCTTTGTTGGTTTGCCTTTTGGGTTTTGGAGGGAGTTTGGGGGGCTTTAGGGGTTTTGGCTGTACAAGGGTTGGGGATTTTGGGGTTTCTTGTGGGGTTGAGGGGTTTTAGAGTTTTTAGGGGGTTTGGGGCTTGTAGGGGTTTTGGTGGTTTCGGGGGGGTTAGGGGCTTTAGGGGTTTTAGGGGCTTTAGGGGTTTTCGGTTGTTTTTTTTTTTTTTTGGGGGGGGGGGGGGGGCTGGGTTCTCGGGGCTTAGGGTTTCTTTCGAGGAGTTTAGGTGTTTAGGGTTATCAGGAGGCTTTGGAGCTTTTTGGGGTTGAGTTTTTAGAGGCTTTATGGGTTTCGAGCTTTAAGGGTTTAGGGATTTTAGTGGTTTAGGGTTTGGGGGTTCAGAGGCTGTTAGGGGTTTGAGGTGTTTCAAAGCGTTTTTGAAACCATGATTGCAGCGAAGCACGCCAAGATGCATAGGATACAAGTGGGGAGAGTTCAGGCATTGCCCCACTTTCGGGCTATCCTCGTCTGGCAAGTACAACAGTCAGGAAATCTTTGAATCAAACCATTATGCGCAGCAATCAAGACAGCACACAACTACACCATGGAAACTTCGAATCACAAAGTGCAAATGCAACAACGTCACTTTCTTGTTGAGCTGATTTTGCTGGCTTTCTTCACGCATCCGAGCGTGCTACGGTTTGCCCCCCTACAGCAGGAGCGCTGGAGAGGAACATCCTTTCAAGGGCCAGGGTACGTAGCCAGTTTGAGGGTATAGGGCCGGTCAGAGTAGTCCGCAATGCATGCAATGAACACGTTCCGCAGAGTGCGTGCGGACCCGCCTGTCTGCAGGTTGAAGTTAGCAGTCCTGCGAGCGAAGCTCTTAACATTCTTCCTCAGGGCTCTGTGAGACTGACTGTGCTACCTACTGGCCAGCTGCAATGAAGTGCAAGGGTCGGACCTTGAATTGAACCCGCTTTCTTCATGCTGTACCAAGGGAGTATTCGGCCAGCGCTGGCAATGTCCTGGGCAGACATGGAGGCATTCTCCTCGTTAGACTTCCGTGCTGTCTTTTCAGGCCAGGGTCGGAGGCATCGCCTTTGTGGTATGCTAGCTGCTAGCAGCGGCTAGCAGCTCAAATGCTAATTTTTTGGGGGATCTTGACCCTAAAGCCTAAAGCCCTGAAGCCCTAAAACCCTAAACCCTGAAACCCTCAAGCCCTAAACCCTAAACACCCAAACCTCTAAAACCCTAGACCCGAAAAACCCTCAACCTCAAAACCCTAAACCCCCAAAACCCCAAACCTCCCCAAAACCCTAAACCCTAAACCCCTAAACCCCCTAAACCTAAACCCGAAAACCCTGAAACCCTTACCCCCAAAGCCCTAGCACTTCTCTAAGGGTAGTTTCATGGACCCTTCATATGAGGTCCCTTACCTCCTTTAAAAGGTCCTGATAGATGGGGGCTTGGGCTGTATAGGGCTTTTAAGGCGTATATAAGAGCCCCCCATGCAAGGGCTCTGATGCCCCTTAAGGATGTCCCTTAGGGTTTAGGGTTTAGGGTTTAGGGGACTCCCTTAACATACCCCTAATATGGCCTTCATCTTCCCTTCGAGGATCCGTGTAAAAGGGCCGCCCCCCAAACCCAAGGTTAGAGTCCTAAACCCTAAACCCTAAACCCCAAACCCCAAACCCTAAACCCTAAACCCTAAACCCTAAACCCTAAACCCTAAACCCTAAACCCTAAACCCTAAACCCCAAACCCTAAACCCTAAACCCTAAACCCCCCTTGGTATTCAAGGGACCATGTAAGTACCCTCAGAACTCAGGCGGCGCTCGAACCGACGCCCCACTCGGGCTCGAACCTCAGGCATCCTAGGGAGCCAAGGGCGGGGGTTTAGGGTTTAGGGTTTAGGGTTTAGGGTTTAGGGTTTAGGGTTTAGGGTTTAGGGTTTAGGGCTCCCAGGTTGCGGGTTTGGGGGTCGAGGGTTAGGGGTTTGGGGTTGGGGTTGAGGGTTACCCATGTGGGCATTTCCCAAAAAGGGGGTACGCCAAATGTATATAGTACAATCCCTATTCATAAGGACCCTCCCAATTTTGGGGAGCCCCGCCCGCCCATGTCAGCCCAGTCTCATCAATGAACCAGGACCCCCAATGCTGCAGACTGCTACCCTAAACCCTAAACCCTAAACCCTAAACCCTAAACCCTAAACCCTAAACCCTAAACCCCAAACACCCTAAACCCTAAACCCTAAACCCTAAACCCTAAACCCTAAACCCTAAACTGCTCTTCTAAGGCGCGGCCTTAGAACCGCGCAGTCCCTCCGGGCCCTCGTTCCCCTCCACGCCGGGCCTGCGAGCTAAAGACGAGGCCGGCTTTAGGGTTTAGGGTTTAGGGTTTAGGTCCGGCTCTGTGGGGTTTGGGGGCTTTTAGGGTTTGGGGGGTCTAGGGTTTGGGTTTTAGGGTTTAGAGTTTGAGGTTTAGGGGTTGAGGACTTCGGGTTTAGGGTTTGGGGTTTGGAGTTTAGGGTTTAGAGTTTGGCAATGGGGGTCTAGGGTCTAGGGTTTGGGCTTGGGGTCTAGGGTTTGGGGTTTGGAGTTTGGGGTTTCGGGCTTGGGGTTTACCATTGCGTGAAAGGGAGTGAAAGGGCTGGTTTAGGGTTTACGGTTTGGGGTTGCGGGTTTCGGGTTTGGGGTTTAGGGTTTGGGGTTTGGAGTTTAGGGCTTGTGTAGGGTTCTCTGGGCTTTTGGGGTTTAGGGTTTGGGGTTTAGGGTTTGTGGGTTCGGGTTTAGGGAACCTCCAGGTCGAGATGCTGGGCGAGCCCCGGCAGTTCCCACAGCATTCCGGTGGTATAGGGGCCTTAGTAGTCTAGGACCGGGAGTAGGCCCTTTTTTCCTTTTTTTAGGGTTGGGGTTCCCTTAGAATGCCCTTAAAACCAAAAAGGGCACCCTTTTTATTCCCAGGTTACTCCCGGGTCTCGTAATTAGAACAGGGTTTTTGGGGGGTTAGGGTTGAGGGTTGAGGGCTTAGGGCTTTTAGTACTGAACAGGGTTTTGGGGGTTAGGGTGTAGGGTTTAGGGTTTAGGGTTTAGGGACCAAACTGCTAGTATTTATTCCAACCCCTACAGCACAGGGTTCAGGGTTTAGGGTTTGGCAGTCCAGAAATGTGTCGCCAGACGGTGCCATAGTCTGGTGGGTATGTTCTGGCTCGATGTACTCCCATGGTGTGCAGCTATTTGGTTGAGGGTTTAGGGTTTAGGGTTTCGGGTTTGGGGTTCCGGTACTCGTACCCCGCTCAATGTCTTGGTCAAGGTTGGTGATACACTCGCATGTGCCTACTTGGGCTTGTGAGGAGCTTTCTGTCGAGGGTTTTCTCATGTGGTCCAGTGATCAGTCCAGTCCAGAGTATATCTCGCTGGCCGCACTTGTGCGCACAGGCTCCAACACTGAGGCGCAGTGACACGCCCTACCACCAAAAAAAATCCATCACAAATGTCTGCTAGCGCTCGCTGCCCGACCCAGGCCCGAACCAGCACTGCAGTGCCACTGGCAGCCGGCACAGCAGCCGCCAACACCGCCGTCGACGCAGCCGACACCGGTGGCAAGTGCGGCCTGCCAGAAATTAGGGTAAGGGGTTTAGGGTTTAGGGTTTAGGGTTTACTCTGAGTAGGTGAGAAAGGGTGGAGCGAGGCAGGCGTGGATCTTCCCTCCCAAGATGCACGTTACGCAGTGCCAGACCCTGCAAGCTCCAACGTTTATGCTCACGCAAGCTCTGCCCCAGGCTCCGGCTGGCTTCTTTGAGCCAGTCACCGCAACTGTGCCGAGGCGAGGTACCAGGCTTCGGCATATGCTAAAGTTCTATAGCATTCAACAGGTTTCAGTCATAAACCCCTAAACCCTAAACCCCCGAAACCCCTAAACCCCAAACCCCTAAACCCTAAACCCTAAACCCTAAACCCTAAGCCTTTAGAACGATGTCAGAGACGCAGAGCAGTGGTGACTGCTACAGGCCGGCCACCTCATCGAGCAATGTCTATCGCCAGCAGCTCAGCACGTCCGATGCGCTAGTATGTCATTGAATATCATAGACAATTTACATGTTATATCCAAGACACTGTTTACATATACATATACATAGACATATATACATATGTATATATATATATATATACATATACGTTTACGCATACGTATACGTATACATATACATATACATATACATATACATATATGTAGACATATACATATACATATATGTATATGTATTTGTATATGTATATGTATATGTATATGCATATGTATATGCATATGTATATGCATATGTATATGCCATATGTATATGTATTTGCATATGTATATGGCATATGTATATGTATATGTATATGTATATGTATATGTATATGTATATGTATATGTATATGTATATGTATATGCCATGTGTATATGTATATGTATATGTATACGTATATGTATATGTATATGTACATGTATATGTATATCTATATATCTCTCTCTCTATACATATATATATATATATGTATATATGTTTCTATAGTGTATACATTCTAAAGGATGAATATTATATTATGTTGACTAATTTTTTGTCAAAAATGGCTTAGTATGTATTAGTCATTATATGCTATACATGTAATGTTGTACGCTATATGTACATCGTTGAAGAAGTTCATCAGGATGCGGTGCGTCAGCTTATGGAAAGTCGAGCTTGTAGCACCCGTCGTCTTTGCAAAGACGCAGTCCGGCTTGCAAAAACCTCTCCGGGTCATGGGAAGCAGTCGGTTTTGGTTGAGCACGGCGCTACGCCGCTATGCAAGTTTGAAGTATCATGGGGGGACGACGACAGTGCCCCATTGAAGATCAGAAGATGATCCGCTTACGACACTCTCTTTGGCCTGTGTGCATTGAGAATAGCTGAAACGCTCAGACGTTGAAGTTGCTTCTTGCCTTGAGTTGGGCCGTGTGAGGAGTCCCATCACCTCCGCCGCAGCTGGTGGCTTCACGACCGGTGTGCCCCTCACCGAACTCTTGTGCCAGTTCACACATGTTTAGGGTTAAGGGTTTAGGGTTTGTTTGCCAATAGCTAGTATGCTGAGTTCGCAAGGTCCCAAGTTAGTCGTCTCCACCGTTTCGCAAGGCTCCATAGCCAGTGCATGCTAGAGCGTTCGAAGAAGAGAAACCACTTCCCAGCAACCTCATCTGCTTGGAACGGGATAGTTAAGTACGGCAGTGCTTGGCAAGCCTGCGTCGGTTAAAGACGAACCGCAAAAATCATGAAAGCTCCCGCTGAACATGTCATAACATGTCATTGAAGTTGTCGCGGAAAAGGTCCATGGAAGCCCGGTAAAACCCGGTCAAAGCCCCGTCAAATGTTTGTCATAGTGGAGTAAGATTTTACATAGTTAGGGACACTTAAGACTCAAGAAATTCTATCCCAACCATGAACTAGAGAAGAAGTATGAACCTCAACTTGGGTTCTCCCCGTAGGTCTGCAGGTTCTCGTAGCCCCGCTCCGTTTCGAAGCAGGCGCAGACGATGATGCCAGCCTACCAGGCCTCGGCAGGGGGTGCTTGCACATCATGGTACATGTCGGGGGTTTCCTAGACTGCAAGGTATCTACTATCCTAGACCCCCCCCCCCCCCAAAAGGACCCAGAACCAAGGATCAAGCCCCGCAACTTGCAGGCGCCAACCCTGCCCCTGTCATACCTCCAGCGACAGCCTGACGGGCGAGTTCGCGTGCCGTCGCCACCGTCTGCTGCCTAGAGCTCCTTGTGCTTTTCGGGTGCAGGCCTGCACAAAGGCCCGTGAGCCTTCTATCAAACCCTTGCAATACCCTAAGCCCTAAACCCTAAGACCCTTGTAAGCCCCAAAGCCATGTCCCCAAGCCTGGCAGTTTCCTTAAGCCCTCTGGACCATGAACTCCTCACCCCGTGCTCCAGGTAGGCTCGTCCTAAGTCCATCCTATACTACCTGTTGAACCCTTTTTTGCCTTTTATTCTATCACAGGGGATATTTCAGGGTTGTTGATATTTCTCTTTTAGTTTTTTATTCTTACATTATTGTTTGTTATGGCTCTCATATTCTATCACAGGGCTTACTTAGGGGTTCATGCGCATGGAAGCTCCAAACCATGGCGCAGCATGGCGGAACATCACGCGTCCTCATGCCGCGTTCACACGACATGTTGAGAACGGGGTCTTCTCGGTCACAATCCCTAAAGAACCCCTACACCCTAAACCCTAACCCCCCCCCCCCCGCCATTTGAAGGTTCATGGGTACGTATAAGTGGGGTCAAAAGTAGCTGAAATAAGGTTACAACCATAGCTACCCTACTTAAAATTCTACTTAGAAACACCCATGAACCTCTAAGCACCCCTACCCTAAGCCCTAAGCCCTAAGCCCTAAGCCCTAAGCCCTAAGCCCTAAGCCCTAAGCCCTAACCCTAAACCCTAAACCCTAAAAACCCTAACCCCCCCCCCCCCCCCCCCCGAACCTCCGAACTGCAGAATCCAGACACTTGGGAGTGCCAGCCATGGCCCTAACATTCGCTGCGCCCCAAAGCGTCGCGGCAGTGGTGCCGTGCCGGGTGCCAGCGCCGGGCCCAAGCACCGTGAGCCCGGGGGCTCAGGATTAGGGTTTAGGGTTTAGGGTTTAGGGTTTAGGGTTTAGGGTTTAGGGTTTAGGGTTTAGGATTTAGGGTTTAGGGTTTAGGGTTTAGGGTTTAGGGTTTAGGGGTTCTTTCGGGCTGTGGGCTGAAGGCAACCGGACCCTAAACCCCCCTAAACCCTCTACTAAGGCTTATACACCCAACCGCCCCCCAACGCCTCGCAGAGGCCCCCGTTCCTCCTTCACGACGGACGCCCGGGCAGCCCTCGCCGTTTTGTTGCTCGGCCGTAGGGTGCGCCTTGGGCTTGGGGAGTCAGGCCTCAGGCTGCGGGGCCCGCAAAATTTACCCCGAGGGCTCTAGCATGCGCTCGACTTTAAACAGCTTCCTAAGGCTTAGCGGTTTAGGGTTGTAGGGGGTAAAGTTACCGGGTGAAGCATCCTTTAAAGCCCTAAGCCCGAAGCTCCCTAAAAGCTCAACTCAAGCCACGCATTCGTGCAAGCGGCCGCCGTTGCCCGGTAAACCCGAAACCCCAAACCCGAAACCCTAAACCCTAAACGTTAAACGTTCGAACCCTAAACCCTAAACCCTCAACCGAGGTTGGCGCTGCCCGTTGCCCAACGCCAGAGCCGCTTGCGGCGTTGCTGCGGCCCCGGTCCGCCAGCAGGCTCGCGATCTATAGGGTCTAGGGTCTAGGGTTTATGGTTTAAGGTTTAGGGTTTAGGGTCTAGGGTTTAAGGTTTAGGGCTTAGGGTTTAGGGGAAGGGTTTGGTAGCGGGAGGTCCCCGTGTCTCCAAAGCACAGCCCTGGGTCCAAGAAAATGGGAAGGTTGTGCAAACGACTACAATACTTGCATTTAAATCTCCGAAACACTTTTCACAGCAGAGAAGGCCCCCAAACCAGACGGGGAAACTCCCCAACTTCCAAAGGAAGAATGTCCATACAACTCTGAACCCCAAAGTTTGGGAATGTCCGCACGCGCGCCGCGACACACGCCTGGCATGGTGGTTTAAGCGGAACATGTGACACCCTAGACCCCAAACCCCAAACCCTAAACAATACACCCTAAACCCTCAACCCTAAACCCTAAACCCTAAACCCTAATTCCTAAACCCTAAACCCTAAACCCTAAACCCTAAACCCTTTGCCAGGTCCACCAGTTTCAGCAAAGCCCTGGGAGTGGTGGGGCGCGGAGGCCGAGGAGCTCGTGGGTCAGGGCATTGTGACCGTTGCTCGGGTTTAGGGTTTAGGGTTTAGGGTTTAGGGTTTAGGGTTTAGGGTTTAGGGTTTAGGGTTTAGGGTTTAGGGTTTAGGGTTTAGGGTTTAGGGTTTAGGGTTTAGGGTGGGTATACACTCTAAAGCCCTAAACCCTAAGCCCCAAGCCCTAACCCTATACAGCCTAAAGCCCTAAACCCCAAACCCTAAGCCCTAAACCCTATACACCCTAAAGCCCTAAACCCTAAACCCGAAAGCCCCAAACCCTAAGCCCCAAACCCTAAACCCTAAGCCCTGCACACCCTGAAGCCCTACACCCCAAACCCTACACACGACGAAGCCCTGTGACGCCACGTGGCCTCCCAGGATTGGCCGCGGCTCCTCGAAGAGTTGATGTCCGATGCAAGGGTGCTGCTGAAGGATCTGCGACTCAGGTTCTTAAGGCTTTGGGGTTTAGGGTTTAGGATTTGGGGTTTGGGGTTTAGCGTTCAGGGTGTAGGACTTTCGTTATTTGAGGGGTCGGGCAGGCTTGCTACATTCAAGACTGCTGAGCGCTTGGGTTTAGGGTTAAGGGTTTGGGGTTTAGGGTTTAGGGTTTAGGGTCTGTTCAAGATTTAAAGGTACCTTATCCGGCTGGCCGCGAGGAGTTCTTCGGCCACGATGCCTTCCGACCAAAGCAGGACAGCCTGTGAGATCCTGGTCCTTCATTTGTGTTTCACATCTTCCGATTTGACACCCTAAACCCTAAACCCTAAACGCGAAACCCTAAACCCTAAACCCTAAACCCTAAACCCTAAACCCTAAACCCTAAACCCTAAACTGCCCTACACCTTAAACCCTACCAGGAGGAGGCATTGCGAGCTGCAATCAGCCATGAGGCGGCCAGGGAACGAGTAGAAGCCAGAGTTTAGGTCCAGGGCATTGGCATGAGTGGAAGCCGTGTTTTTTTTTGGCACTGTTCTCCTCCTCTTGGTAGGGTTTAGGGTTTAGGGTTTAGGGTTTAGGGTTTAGGGTTTAGGGTTTAGGGTTTAGGGTTTAGGGTTTAGGGTTTAGGGTTTAGGGTTTTCAGCGGGTCTTAAAGGCCTCCTAGTGTTGCCCTACTTCTGATGTTTCAGGACATGGAGCTGTATTGGCCGACTGCAGCGGGGAAGTCCCTGATTTTTCAGCTGCTGGCTGTTCTGGCTTGGCGAAGGAGCACTTGGGTCCTGAAGCTAAACCCTAAACCCTAAACCCTAAACCCTAAACCCTAAACCCTAAACCCTAAACCCTAAACCCTAAACCCTAAACCCTAAACCCTAAACCCTAAACCCTAAACCCTAAACCCTAAACCCTAAACCCTAAACCCTAAACCCTAAACCCTAAACCCTAAACCCTAAAGAGCAAAGGTAGCTGTGCTTGCAGTAAAAGAAGTATAGTAGTATAGCAGCAGCTCAAAGTGCAGAAGTAGCAATGAACTGCTTGCCTCATGTTCCAAACGTCGGATCATTCATGTGTCTCTGTTCACGTGTTCTTGCAACCATGCAGCACAGTTGTAACTGTAGCTGGATGTAGCAACCAGTAGAGTACTTTGGGATGCTCGAGCTTTCGGGGCTGGTCGCGAATGGTAATCGTTGTGTTTGTTGTCGTAAGTCGCGGCAAACTACCTCAACTGGCACCGCTAAAGGATTGCAACCATAAACCCTAAACCCTAAACCCTAAACCCTAAACCCTAAACCCTAAACCCTAAACCCTAAACCCTAAACCCTAAACCCTAAACCCTAAACCCTAAACCCTAAATGCTGCTGCTACTGTTGTTGATGGCCTTCGGCAGGAAGCGTGGCATAGTCATCGTCGTAGAGCCGACCATCCCGGTCATGCAGGTGGGCGGACTTGTTAGGGTTTAGGGTTTAGGGTTTAGGGTTTAGGGTTTAGGGTTTAGGGTTTAGGGTTTAATTGTGCACGCTTCGCGCTGGCTGTGGGACGCCCTGTTACAAAAGAAGGCGCGCTCGTAGAATGCGGCGTTTTCGAGAAGTTGTGTAGCCCCCATTTGTAAGCCAACTTTTTTTTTGCACTCTCGATTTTCGTTGCCGGCTACTCATTCTACACCTTCATCCGAAACCTCCCTGCATCTGAATGGCCCTGAGATGCGGCAGAGAGGAAGAGGACGAAGACATGGGAAGATCCCTTTCGGGCCTTAAACCCTAAACCCCAAACCCCAAACCCTAAACCCTTGAAACCCTAAACCCTAAACCCTAAACCCCAAACCCTAAACCCTAAACCCTTGAAACCCTAAACAGGGGGGCTTAGGCTTAGGATGGCTTAGGGGCCCCAAGGAACAGGGGCGAGCCACGAGGGCCAGGAAGTCCCATGCAGCCTCTTCACCCTCCAGGGCCGCAAGCTGATGAGGAATTCATTCTTCCCTTGAGCACTGCGCAGGATTTTTGGGCACAGGCCATTCTTCCGATTACCCTGACTTGTGCGGTTTAGGGCTTAGGGTTTATTTGGGGTTTAGGGTTTAGGGTTTATTTAGGGTCCTCAGTTCAATGTCCAGTGGCAGGTTGTTAGGTCCGGAGGTGAAAACTGCGCTGTTGCGTGGCGTGACTGTGCACTCTTGCATGTTCGGCAAGGATCAGACGCAGCAGTTTAACAGAAGAGCCCTCGCGGAGGAGGCGCCCAAGGCTCGTCGTCGACCACTACCGTGCTCTTGTGGTTGACTTGCTCTTGATTTGTGGTGTAATAGTTAGTACATATGTATATGTATAAGTAACATATTAGAAGCAACATTTCTATGTATATATATATATATATGTATATATGTATACATATATGTACATACACATATATGCATGTGGTTGCTCGCTCTCCCGGGGGGGGGGGGGGTTATCGGCCTGTGCCGCGGGTGTCCCAACACCTTTCCTTCGACACCCTGTGCTCGACTCTGAGATAGCAAACCCTACACGGTCGGACTTCCAAGTATTGCCAACCCTAAACCCTAAACTTGCTAACCCTAAACCCCAAACCCTAAACTCTAAACCCTAAACCCTAAACTCTAAACCCTAAACCCTGAACCCTGAACCCTAAACCCTAAACCTGCTCATACGCTCCATGGCCGAAGATCTTCTCCGTCCTCCTGTCCATACTAAAGAAAATTTGGTCGATCGCTGAGTACCGGGCGGTGGGGAGCCAGAGGGCCAGCATTGGATTAGGGTTTAGGGTTTAGGGTTTAGGGGTTAGGGGTTAGGGGTTAGGGTTTAGGGTTGGAAAAGCCCTTTATCTTACTGGCTCAAAACCCAACTTTTCAACTTTTGGACTTCTTATCATAAGGTAGTTTATTCTGAAAGTTTCAGCTTTTATGTCCTTGGGTTTTGGGCCAGTAAGTTAAAGGGTTGATTATGGGGATTATAAGGCCTAATACCCCATCCTGGTTGGATGGTGTTGAATGTCGAACGCGATATTAAGAGGACAACGCGATTTTTTTATTTGGGCTTCTCTAGGTAAGCTGCCCTTTTTAAGGCAAGCAGTGTGCTTTTCTAGTTAAATAGTGCTTGTACGCCGCAGAGTATTGATTAAAGACTTTACGAAAAAGGCATGTGAATTCAACTACTGTCAATCGCTCCACATCAGTTAGAAAATCCAGAAGCCCAAGCTTTTCGGGAGAATTGCTCGTGAAGTTTTGATTCTTGGGTCTTTGGTTCCGCTGGGCAAATCAGTTCATTATCTAGGCAAACAGTTATGATTTTCTTGGCAAGTACTGTAGTGCTCTAATATTCTGGAGAAGGAGTGCGGTTACTAAGCAATGTATTGATCAAACATGCGAATCAAAGCTAATGATCTAGTGAAATACCAGTTCTATTGTTTCGGCACAAGTACATACTGGTTTTTAGCAATGTAGTATTTTCCAATACTAAATTGAACTCGAATTGCACAGGCAAGCGAGATTGGAAATAGATGCTCATTAAATACTACGGGGGGCAGGGGGTGCGGTCGGGGCGGGGGGGTGAGGAGGGACGAGGGGGTGAGGAGAAGGGCAGAACGAATCTTTAGTTTACAAAGGCAACATAAACAACACATGTGCAAAAATGACAAGTGGCAAACCAACAATACCGAAACTGTAAAACGAATACGAGAAAAACAAAGAACAATTTGCAGAGACTCTTGTGAGAGCCAAAGAAGACACAAAAAATGCAACGATATAGACTAATGCACATGTCTTCCATCCCTGATTGCTTTATTTGATTGCAATCTTTGTATAATTTTACTTTATCGTCCTCTTTTTTAGATGGCATTTGTTTTTCGGCTTTTGGTTGTTTTTTTGGGAATATTTTGTTTGTTGCTTTTTTCGGTGTTTGTTTTGTTTGTTTTAATTTTTGCTTTTTGGTTTTGTTGAGTTTCTGGTTAAGGCACATCTTGCACATGCAAGTTTGCTCGGATTGTGGCTGGGTGGTCTGAGACAAGGGCAAAATCGGTCACTGGAGGGGGGGTGGGGGGTGGGGGGCGGCATATATATATATATATGTATATGTGTATTATGTAGATGTATATGTGTATGTGTATCTGCATGTGTATATGTGCGGGTAAGGTGTAGGTAGACGCGCATGTGACCGTATATGTGTAGCCATAAGTAGGTATCTGTGTATGTGTATGTGCATGTTTGCGAAGATGTTTTTGTATGTGTATATATATACATACACATATATTGGGGTCTTCCCCCTTAAACTAACAGTCCTTAACCGGGATGATAGTAGGGGGTACTATAATCCGCCTTAAGGACTGTTCGAATAAGGGGAACATCCCAACCCAAAACCCCAAACCCTAAATCCTAAACCCTAAACCCTAAATCCTAAACCCTAAACCCTAAACCCGTTGACAATCCATAATCCATGATCCTTGCAGGCATGCCTCCTCGGATCTGCGCAGAAGGATGAACGTGTCATCAAGGCTGCTGTCGATGGCGAGTACTGCCGCCAAGTTGCAGGTGTTGAGGTTTAGGGTTTAGGGTTTCGGGTTTATAGGGCTTATAGGGTTTATAGGGTTTACAGGGGTTATAGGGTTTATAGGGTTTATAGGGTTTATAGGGTTTATAGGGTTTATAGGGTTTACAGGGTTTATAGGGGTTTTAGGGCTTATAGGGTTTATAGGGTTTTGTAGGGTTTATAGGGTTTATAGGGTTAAGGGTTTAGGGTTTGGGGCATCGAAACTTCCGACTTGGCAGCAGAGGATCAACGCTGTGAGCTCACGTGCAGGTTTGGTTTACATGTGCCCAGAGTCAATCACGCAGAAGTTCCTGGAAGCCTTCGTCCCTTTGCACGAGAGCGGCTTGGACTGAGCTCGTTGCAAGAGAGCTGCGAAGCAGCATGTTTGCATGTGGGGGTGTACGATAATAAGGGACCCCCGAGTGTAGACCCCCAAATAGTAGGATCCCAATATCGTAAACCCCCGCCCCCATGTTTCTTGAATCCCGGAATGCAGGATCCTGTGTGTCGTGGGCAACTGAGGCTCGCGCATCTGTGCTTTCGTGATAGATGAGGCATGCTATATGCCTCTTTGGGGTCACGCACCTTGGCAGGTCGTGTCAACGTTCGTTTTCGGGCGCACAGGGTCTGGGGTTTGGGGTTTAGGGTTAGGGTTTAGGGTTTAGGGTCTAGGGTTGGTAAACCCTAGGGTTTAGGGTTTAGGGTCTAGGGTTTAGGGTTTGGGGTTTAGGGTTTAGGGTTTAGGGGTTGGGGACCCGGCCAAGGAGTTTAGGCCTGCATTCCTGGACCTGGCTTGGCTTCGCGAGACGTCACTTGGCTCGAAGCATGACTCAGCCCGGACTTACTCCAGGGGTCAGGGTTTAGGGTTTAGGGTTTAGGGTTTAGGGTAATTATGACACTACGCGACCCGCCCCGGCCCGGGCCTGCCCGGCGGCAAAAGAACCCAAGCCGGAGATCGCAGGTGTGAAGACTGTTGCAACACACAGGGGTTTGGGGTTTAGGGTTTAGGGTTTAGGGTTTAGGGTTTAGGGTTTAGGGTTTAGGGTTCTCATGCATAGACCAGGCACCCCACATGTGGGAGTGGTAAAACAAGAAATGCAAGCCGGCCGGGATATCAGGAGGGGGGGTATACAAGAACTGTATCTCCTGGTATAAGCTGCCCTGAACACCCAATTCTAACTATTGCCCCCCCCATGTTACTTGTAGGTCATTGTAGGTGGCATGTCACATCGATGTACTTTGCCGAAACTGCAAGCTGCGAGAGCCCTGAGCCTATGCCCTACACCCCTACACCCTAAAACTCCGAAACCCCTAGACTCCAAAAATGCCCTAACCCCGAAAGCTCCAACACCCTAACCCCCTAAACTCGATACCCCTAAAGCCCCTCAACTCCAAAAACCCTATAAAACCCTAGCCGAGATACTGTGGAGTTCCCTTCATGGCTTTGTCTGGTGCCGCGCCACCAGACCGTCAGCATCTTGTCGCCACACTTCCCCTTGCCTCACTTCATTCAGGGTTTAGGGTTTAGGGTCTAGGGTCTAGGGTTTAGGGTTTAGGGTTACTTTTACTTTGGTGGTTTACTTGAAGGTTCATGGGGGGGGGGGTTATAAGTAGGTTACCTCTCAGTATAACTGGCTATAGCCTATTTCGGACACTTATGACCGTACTTATAACTACCCATGAACCTCCAACTAGGGTTTCGGGTTTAAGCTCTTTGCTCAACTGCTGCCTAAGCAAAGCCAGCCTTCAAGGGGGGGGGGGGTGTTGGCCCTAGAATCTGTGGGGACGCCATGGGAAACAAACCTTCGACTTCGGAAGCAGTTCGGAGTGAAGGGCGTGGGTGCGTGGAGGAGTTCGAGGAAGGTGGGCCCTTCAAACCCCAAACGGCCCCCAGTCCTCAGCCCTAAACCCTAAACCCTAAACCCTAAACCCTAAACCCTAAACCCTAAACCCTAATTTTGGGGCACTCCTCTCAATCATGGTGCCTGGGGTATCCCTCAGCATACTCTGTGCAATGGGAATCCCACAAGGCGACCGGGGGGGATCGCACTCCCCCTAAACCCTAAATCCTAAACCCTAGACCCTAAACCCTAAACCCTAAATCCTAGACCCTGGACCCTAGACACTAGACCCTAAACCCTAGACCCTAAACCCTAAACCCTAAACCCTACTAACATTCCCTCACGCCCTACAAACCAGCAGTAAGCCCAGGGCCTTCATTCGAGAACACCTCCTACTTCGAGCTCCCCGCAGTGGCTTGCCTGAGCGCGAAGAGGGAGACGTTTAGGGTTTAGGATTTAGGATTTAGGGCTTAACTTATAGGGTTTAGGGTTTAGAGTTTAGGGCTTCTAGGGGTTAGGGTATGAGGAACGTGGGGGAGAGACATCGCGAGGTTTATTCTTCAAATCCAAAGAACTGCAGTTTTCCGCACGCTTTGGCCTGCGGCTGCTGCTGAACTGACCCCCGAAGCCTTGCAGGCCCTAACTTCAAGTGTTGAGTGAAGTCATAGCCGGCATCACGTCGTGCATCCGCACTGTGCTCTGACAAGGAAGTGCAATGTGGCTTGGAGAGCAGTATCAGTGAAATCAAGGGGCCACCTTCAGATGGCATTTGGCGTGCTTAGGGCCAACCCTAAACCCTAAACCCTAAACCCTAAACCCTAAACCCCAAACCCTAAACCCTAAACCCTAAACCCTAAACCCTAAACCCTAAACCCTAGGACTGTCTTTTGCAACAACAGGCCCATGCTTCGGAAGAACCTGCAGATTGAAAGTTGCCAAGGGCTCGGAGTGCCCCGCCTGCAAAGAGCATCCCTTTTGGGGGTTTGGGGGTTTGGGGGTTTGGGGGTTTAGGGTTTAGGGTTTAGGGTCTAGGGTCTAGGGGTCTAGGGTCTAGGGTTTAGGGTTTGGGGTTCATGCCCCTAAGTGTATATAAGTACATAACCCAATTATGTAGCAGTCCCTTTTTTCCATTTGTGAGGAATGTTTGTTTTTGGAGGGTTCTTAGGCAAGAACTTGAAAATGCCTGCATTCCCTCATCCCGATGCCCTACTAGAGCCCATGCAAGTCTGTTTTAGGGTTTAGGGTTTAGGGTTTAGGGTCTAGGGTCTAGGGTTTAGGGTTTAGGGTTTAGGAAGGGTGGTTTCTCCGGCGTTTCATGTGCGCTAATCGCATTCGGGTTGGGACGCTCCCCTTAAACTAACAGCCCTTAGGCGGGATGATAATAGGGGGGGGGTACGATAATCCCTCTGTTAGTAGAAGGGGGAACATCCCAACCCTAAACCCTAAACCCTAAACCCCAAACCCCAAACCCCAAACCCTAAACCCTAAACCCTAAACCCTAAACCGTTTATAAAGGGGGGGGGGGGGGGGGGGGGGGGCCATCCCAATCTCCGAAAGACGGCCGCAGGATCTGGACAAGATCAACATGATTCTGGATTTGCTGGCCGTCGATGGCCACCAAGCTGATTCTTGGCTGAGGGTTTAGGGTTTAGGGTTTAGGGTTTAGGTTTTAGGGTTTAGGGCACAACATGTTATTCTTAAGGTATTCTCACTCCAGATCAGGCGGCTGCGTAGGTGTGTACAAAGGCCCTAAACGCTCGCAACCCTACATATCCATGATGCAGAAACACTAGTCCCGAAGCCCCAAACCCTGAGCCCTTAACCCGGAGCCCTAAGCCCCAAACGCTGAACCCTGAACCCTAAACTTCCATGGTGCAGTACTTCCAGTCCGCTGCCGAGTTCAGTGCGTGAGGCTGTCGTGTACGTGCAGACGAAGCCCACCGCAAGGAGGAAAGCTTGGGATCGTCCTGCTACAATGACAGGTACTAGTAATTGCTTAAGACCCCCCCCAAAAAAAGATGAAAGATATTCTTCCTGATAAGGTCAATATAGGGATTACTATTTTGTGTATTCTTTTGGCGTTCTTAAGCGAAGCTTCGGGTTTAGGACCAACCTGCCCATGCCCCGCAGTACCATGTTGGTGAGGGCCGCCACTCGCTGACAGTAGAAGCGAGTTGCGTCGACAGGCCGGAGTTGTTTGGGGTTTAGGGTTTAGGGTTTAGGGTTTAGGGTTTAGGGTTTAGGGTTTAGGGTTTAGGGTTTAGGGTTTAGGGTTAGGGTTTAGGGTTTAGGGTTTAGGGCACTTTGCAACAGGGCGTGGGTTCCCTAAACCGTAAACCCTCCGAACCTGTTTGGAAGCAACTTTCTATTCTCCATGGGCCCTGAACCGGGCTAACCTTACACAGCTCATAGAGCTAGACATAAGCTCATTGACGTCTAAGTAAGGTCTTCACAGGACGCAAACCCAGTCTAAACCCTAAACCCTGAACCCTATAAACCCCAAAACCAGCTCGGCTCTTAAGTAATTGAAAGGATACGACGTCGCCTGGAAGAGCAGTCGGGCAAGCGCTGCTAGCCCAAAGTTGGCTTATGTGGGGGTTTAGGGTTCAGGGTTGAAGGTATAGGGTTTAGGGTTCAGGGAACACCCTAAGACCCCCAAACGCTGTCAGGGTTTAAGGTTCGGGGCTTGCGCCCGAACATTGGAAGCTCTTTAAGCCCAAATCCCGTATAAAAAAACAAACCCAGAAGCCCTATGCACCCTGAGTCGTAAGCCGCTTCAACCCTGCAAAAACCCTGCAGCTAAACCCTAAACCCTAAACCCTAAACCCTAAACCCTAAACCCTAAACCCTAAACCCTAAACCGAGGTTGCCTGGGCTTTGCTTTGGGGCAGATCGATGGCGACACCCCCCCGGACGAGCGGGCGGTGCTGAACTTGGTGTCGCTCCCGCCTTGAGTCTAGGGTTCAGGGTTTAGGGTTTAGGGTTTTGGGTGGTCCTAAACCCCCAAGCCCTACAGAAAACCCCCTTAAAAACAAAAAACACCCTAAACCCGCCTAAGCCCCCCAAAAGAAGGCCAAGGCCCAAGCCCTAAACCCTAAGCCCCAAACCCTAAACCCCAAATCCTAAACCCCAAACCCTGAGCCCTAAACCCCAAACCCCAAACCCTAAACCCCAAACCCTAAACCCCAAGCCCTGGACCCTGGAGCACCCCTCAGGCGTTTCGTGAGAACCGCATCAACATCATGGTGGCCACTGATGCCTACGGTCAAGGCCTGGACCCTCAAGCCCTAAACCCTAAACCCTAAACCCTAAACCTTGAAACCCCAAACCCTGAACCCCACACCCCAAACCTGAACAAACCAACCCTAAACCCTAAGCCCCAAACGTTTTGGTGAGAGAGAGCGCAGAGCGAGAGAGAGATGGAGAGAGAGGGAGAGTACGAGAGTGATACAGGGACAGAGACAGAAGGTAGCATTATATGCCATGGGCAGGCATCATTAGCAGCAAAGTCATTGGGAATGTGAAGTTCCGCCGGGCATACTTGATACCCAAGTAATCAACAGTTGATGGTCAGTTGCTGATTAACAAGGTGTTGTTTTTGGGGTATGTGCCAAGGGGTATGTGAAAATTATTAGAAAACCCCAAACCCTAAACCCCGAATGGTCGAGGCATTGACAAGCCCGACATTGATGTCATCGTGCACTGGGAGCCGCCATTGAACATCGAGACGCAGCTTGGGCTAGGGTTTAGGGTTAGGGCTCTTCACAGACAGGACTTGCTCTTTTTACAGGGTAAGCAGGGTTTTTGTTTTTGTTTGGGGTTGTAAGGTTTTTGTAGCGCTGATAGGGTCATGAATCGGGTGCCTAGGGCTTATACGCCTTGTGGGATCATAGTCTGTAAGACTGCAATGGTGGCATATAATACATATAGTATAAACAAGAGCATGACTTGTTTGCTTAACATGCAATATAATATATTTTCACACACATATAGACATAACACTGTATATATATATATAAATAAATAAATAAAAATATATATATATATATATATATGTATATATCCATATGCATATCTGCATGTATCTTCACCCGAAGAACCGGCAGAGACCTCGTCAGGTACCTGAATCAAGTTGGCCGCGCTGGACGGGATGGGCGTCCGTCAGTGTGCCGTCTGTGCTGGAGTGGCGCAGATGCAATTCGAGGGTTTAGGGTTTAGGGTTTAGGGTTTAGGGACATCACATGCAGACTCCAAATACGTTGTTACTTTTTTTACAGAAACAAGACTACGTTCAGTCATATATGCGTAGTAGTAGCTTCAGTTGCAGCACGCTTGGGGTCCTTCCCACGCACAGACAGCGCAATGAATCATCAGTCCTTGCGCTGAGATGGGCAACGAAGCTGGAAAAGAATGCTGGACAACAAGGGGTTCTTCGCGCAGGAGCTTCTCAGCGTGCAGCAGGAACCAACATGAAGAACCAGAGGTTGTCTTTGCTTGTTTCTGTCTGGCTACGCTGTACATGTGGAGGTTGTGGAGTTCCCCTAAACCCTAAACCCTACACCCTACACCCTACACCCTAAACCCTAAACCCTAAACCCTAAACCCTAAACCCCAAGCGAACAACGCGTGCTGCAGACCCGAGGTTGAAGGAGATGTACGAAGCAGATCGGCAGGCGGCCCCGGCACGGTTTAGGGTTTAGGGTTTAGGGTTTAGGGTTTAGGGTTTAGGGTTTAGGGTTTAGGGTTTAGGGTTTAGGGTTTAGGGTTTAGGGTTTAGGGTTTAGGGTTTAGGGTTCAGGGTTTAGGGTTTAGGGTTTAAGGTGTAGGGTTTAGAGATCTTGGCTCTTTTTCTTTTTGTTGTTTTGGTGCCGGGGGGGGGGTTATATGGTTTGGTGCTTAGGGGCTTAGGGTCTCCAACCACGACTCCTTCATTCAGGCGTACTAAAAACACACGTTTCAACGTTTAAAAATCCTGTAAACTTTGGAAGATCTAAGCTCCTCAGCCGATAAACCCTAAGCACTTGAGGGTATGTTTCTTAGAGAGGTCTTGGGCACAAATCCTTAAACCTAAACCCTAAACCTTAACCCTAAACCCCAAACCCTTGGCAGGTTGAGCTGAAATCGCGGCTTGCGGTGCTCACCATGGCCAGTGGGAACAGGCCGGGTGTGAGCCACAGGGTTTGGGGTTTGGGGTTTAGGGTTTAGGGTTTAGTGCTTAGGGTTTTGGGTTTCGTCTTTCGGGCGGATAACGTGAAGTTAGAGCAGCTGCAGTTTTTTCTGAATAGTATCAGGGAGCCAGATGAGATGATGACAGGGCCAAGTTAACTGGACTAGGTCAGGACGAGATGCGCATGCGGCAAAAATAAGAACAAAGCCGAAGACATCGACTCAGTGTGCCCGACCACACAGGTATTCCATGCTGCAGGGGACAGAGCGCATGAGAATAACGGACTGGACGTCTCCGCGAATATTACCAAGCAACCCTTGATCAGAGCTCAAGCAAAACCCGGACGCCAAGCCCTCAACTTAATCCGTATGACCTCGAACCCAGGCCATCCTTCAAAAAGCTCTAGGAAACCACAAGCCAAGACACACCTCGACAATCCTACTAGTAGTCCCTCAAGTCGCAAAACCCTTCAGGCAAAAACCCCAAAGCCCACACCCCTGAACCCTGACCCTATCACCCTGAACACGTAACCCCCCCCCCCCCCCCCCTTCTTCGGAGGGTCCACGGGGCGGGGCCGGACCATGTGGAGGGGGGAGGCTTGCCACACTGCCCAGATATGACACAGCTGGCAGCTTCTGCTCACAGGGGTCAGTCTCAGTAGGTTTAGAACCCTAAACACTCCCACCCTAAACCCTAGACCCTAAAGCGTTGAGGGTTCTAGCCGGTTTCGTGTTCTGAAGGTGTCGATGGCATGCCATTCTCTCGCACTACGCGGCTTGCCTCAAGCTTTGACGCTTACAGGAGAAATCCCCTATTCTCCAGGGTTTAGGGTTTAGGGTTCAGGGTTTAGGGTGTAGGGTTTAGGGTTTAGGGCACTCGCCCATGTGCTATAAAAAATGTACCATGATGGAATGTTGCTGTTAGGAGGTACCGGGGTTTCAATAGTTGGGGGATGGACTGCAGTATGTGCAGTTGACGGTAGAGTTGGTGTGTAGGTATTCAGACTTCTGCTTGTTTCCAAATACGCTTGGAGGGCACATCCTACCTGAATCTGCATTTTCAAAAGACACACGAATCTAGATATATGTTACATGTCCCTAAACCTTAAACCCTAAAATAGAGAGAGAGTCAGAGAGAGAGGTCTTCTTCAACGAAACATTCGAGATCCAGAGGACTGCTACTCTTTGCTTAAGAACCCCGAAAAGAAAAAGCAACAATCCCTATATTACCCTTACAAGGAAGAATATTTGTTTTATTCTTTTGGGGGTTCTTAAGCAATTGGTAATCCCTTCCCCCTAATATTAAACGGGGGGTCCCCCCTCCCCCCCCCCCCCCCCCTTTAAAAATTCGAAATGTGTTTTTATTATTAGGGGGTATTTTTATCGAAATGTCGCAAAATTAGACTTCAGGGTGTGGAGAGCCAGGCTCACAGGCAGCTGACAGACAGCTTCGTGCTGCCAAAAGACGGGCCTCTAAATTAAACCTAAACCCTGAACCCTAAGCCCTAAACCCTTAATTAACCCTAGACCCCCCAACCCAAAACCCTCTGAGGGTTTTATTGGTGTTGAAGGATTTCTTGGAGGCCTGAACCCCCCCCCCTAATTCGGAATAGGGTTTAAAAGGCGGGCTCGGTTTCGGGAGGTTTTTCCGGAAAGTATTTTTATTATTGGGGGGGTATTTAATAAAAGGGGGAAGGGATTAGTAAAGTGCGCATGGCGCTGTCTCGAGGCCTTGAGAAACTCTTCTTTGGGGTAAGGGTTTACAGTAAATAAGCTTCAGGAAGTTGACAAATGGTTCAAGGATGATTAGAGCTCGGATTCGCTTTTGTATGCCTCCCTGGGTATGGGGATAAGGATGTTCCAACTTTCTGGAGTGTACTGTATGGGTTTAGGGTTTTTAGGGTTGTGGGCGTCATCCCCAGGGCGGAACTCCGTAAACCCTAAACCCTAGACCCTAAACCCAAAACTCTAAACCCTAAACCCTAGGTTACCCTAGCCTGACTATCATATGGATTCTTTCTGGTACCGACTCTGGGGCTTGGCAACACCCAGCAAAAAACTCACCCTAAGCCCTAAACTCTTCAACCCTCAAAAACCACCCTAAACATTAAACCCTAAACCCTAAACCCTAAACCCTAATTCCTAAACCCTAAACCCTAAACCCTAAAACCACATCCTGTGCCCAGGCCTGTGCTGACGAGCTGGGAGCGGCAGGCTTCATGGATCGCAAGAAGCAAGTGGGGGCTGAGCGACAGGGTTTAGGGTTTAGGGTTTAGGGTTTAGGGTTTAGGGTTTAGGGTCTAGGGTTTGGGGTTTGGGGTTTAGGGTTTAGGGTTTAGGGTTCTTGGTAGCCCACTGGCACCCTTTACCCTTTTTTGTTGGTTCTGGGTTCCCTGATAAGATAACCAACCCCCAAAAAGGGTGCCCTCATAAGATAACCAACCCCCCAAAAGGGTTCCCTTATAAGATAACCAACCCCCAAAAGGGTGCCCTTGTTATGATATGGTTGCTGGGCTACCAAGGGTTTGTGGGGCTCAAGATGGGACTTTTCAATACAAGCAGCATGCTCCAAGCGTTTTTAGGGTGCCGCACAAAGAGCCCCCTAACTCAGAGCATGATGCTAAGAGCAGGGTCTGCATACTTTTCCTTGGCCATCCATTTCTTGAGTGTTGACGAAAGGCCCTTTCTGGAGGGTTATGTAGGGTACGATGTTGTTTTCTGGTTTGGGGCCAACAACCACCACTTGTGCGGCGTAGCTGAGGCTGTGGGGTGTGCGATGTCTGCACGGGCAAGATAAAAGAGAAGAGGACGCCGGCAAGTGACGGCCGCTCGGAAGTATCGATTTCCCTGGCAAGCGCCCAGATGTGTGACGTGCGCCCTGAACCCTGAACCCTAAACCCTAAACCCTTAACCCTTAACCCTTCACCCTTTAACCCTTAACCCTTAACCTAAACCCTAAACCCTAAACCCTTAACCCAAAAAAACCCTAACCCTAAACCCTTAACCCTTAATCCTTAACCCTTAACCCTTAACCCTAAACCCTACAGACCCTAAACCCTGAAACCCTGAACGCCCAGACCAGGTCAGTTTCTTGCGCGCGCCCTCTGAGGTGAGCGGAAGCTTGCACTCCTGGTCCTTCATGCCCTGTTCTTCGCGCAAAGCCACAGTCGATACCTGAGTTTATTATACTAAGCGCTATATAATGTAAATAATATACATATCTTTAATGTCTACATATATACACACATATATATATATACATATATATATAAACACATATATACATACATATGTATTCCTTATATGAGGGCGTTGGGCTGGTGGCCTCCTGTCAAGCAAAGCGTTTTTGAATTGAGGTCAAGGTGACCGTGCCGGAGCACCTTGGCAAAGATGTGGCATGGTCATCGGGTAGGTAGGCCAGGCCCTGAGGCTATTTTTTCCGTGATGGGTTCAAGATGATCGCATGACTGCCCTCGGGTGTCTTGAGGTAGTACAGATTGCTCACAGTGGCTCTTCACGCTTCAAGCATCAGCGCTCCGTCGCCATGCTCGATGCTCTCACAAAGCTGAGGCCGTGTTGGGGTGGGGGGCGGGGCGGGGAGGGGGCGGGGTGGCTGAGGGTCGGCCGCGTGAATGGGACATGCCGGTGCAGTTGAAGAGTGAGGGTGTATCTCAGTGCCGGCTGCGCCTGCACCTGCAAGTTTCGGACTTGCTCCTTTCGTCGCAGGAAGGACCTGCGAAGCACTCCAACCAAGGGACTCTTGTATGCAGAAAGTCATGAGTATGGCATGAGTTGCATGGTCCAGTGTGCTTTTTGCGGTTGCACCATCCCTGAGGAGTAGATTGTAGACATTCAATGGCTTGCAACCTGTTTTTGCACAGGTGAAATCAAGAAGATGTACGAGCGGTTGTGGGAAAGTGGATATGTGTTGCCTTGCTACCGCGGCATGACTGAGCAGAAGAAGCTGCAGTGGGGCGTTGAGTTGAGCCAAACAGGTCCGCACTTCACAGCATGCCTTGCGGCTAGCTAAATCATGGTCGCTGCTGGTAGCCTAAGTGCCCGTATACTTGACAATGGGTACCCCAAAACCGGGGACCCGAATTTCGGGAAGTGGCATTTTGAAGCAGTGCCATCGCCATCCATCCATGATGTCTCATGAGATGATGTTGCTATTCTCGAGTTGATGTCGCTCGCCGTACTTCGCAAGCTCCCTTACTACTGGTGGACAGGCCGGGAAGCACAACAGCAGCCAAATTGCGAGATCCTGCTCGTGCCCGAGAGCTCCTGCCCCTTGGCGCAGCCTAGGAAAGTAAAGACCCCTAAGCCCTAATCCTTAATCCTTAATCCCTAAACCCTAAACCCTAAACCCTAAACCCTAAACCCTAAACCCTAAACCCTAAACCCTAAACCCTAAACCCTAAACCCTAAACCCTAAACCCTAAACCCTAAACCCTAAACCCTAACCCGACTTCGCTCCACATGACTCCTATGGCTCTGAATCTGAGCTTGGCCTCTGGAGGCCTTGGGGTTTACGAAAAGAGGGGGCCCCTGAAGTAGCCCCCCCCCAAAATAGGAGGAATCCCTTAGAATAAGGAGCCCAATAAGGTACCCCCCCCCCCCCTATTTTCGGAGAGCCACCTTCGATAGCGGCCTCAGGTACCCTAAGCCCTAAAACCCTAAAGCCTAAACCCTAAACCCTAAACCCCTCATTGTGAGAAGAACACAGGCCGCAAAGCGGACACGACGGTGCCTCGAGTTCGGCATCGGCTCAAGGGGCAACAGATTCGGGCTGCACTGCAAGAGTACCGTGATGCAGAAAATGACCCCGAGGCGGACGTGGGTGGTTTAGGGTTTAGGGTTTAGGGTTTAGGGTTTAGGGTTTAGGGTTTAGGGTTTAGGGTTTAGGGTTTAGGGTGTAGGGTTCAGTTGATGCGTGCTGCTGCATACAATGGCTGAATCGCCCTGCAGGCAGCCGAGAATGCCTTGAAGCACTTACAGTCAGTCCTCGATGAGCCTCACGTTCCAGCGGCACCACCTGTCAAGGCACCACCTGTCAAAGCCAAATACGAGGATGCACCCTGTCTGCCAAGATCACTTTTCGCTGTGGTTTTGAGTACTTCGGTGTAAGTTGGAGCTTGCACGCCTGCAGCTGTGAGGCTACTGCGAGACTCCTGCGAAAGATGAGGCGCATGTGCCCGGACATGCAGGTTGACCACGCGCGCCTCAGTTCAGGGGAGTTCCAGTGCACCATCGCAATCCCCTCTCAGCATCTCGAACTCCACGGCGAGCCGTCGAAGCCGCTGGGATGCACCTGCTGGCAAGAAACTCCCTAAACCCTAAACCCCAAACCCTAAACCCTAAACCCTAAACCCCTAAACCCCTAAACCCCTAAACCCCTAAACCCCTAAACCCCTAAACCCTAAACCCTAAACCCTGCTCTCTGGGGGGAGCTCCTCGACATGGCTTTCTCCGAAACCCTTTTTTGTTTTTTTGGCATGTTTCCCCTTGTACCAACAGTCCTTGATGGGGATTATAGTAGTTTAGGGTAGCCAGTCAGGTGCAAGGACGTGTCCCTGCAGCACGCCCTGAGCGCATGCAAGGAGATGAGCATGCGGATCGACTTGAGGAGCTTAGGGTTTAGGGTTTAGGGCGTTTAGGGTTTAGGGTTTAGGGTTTAGGGTTTAGGGTTTAAGGTTCTTAAGGGAGGGGGGTTCAAGGGGCTAGGTACCTAGAAAAACCTTAAAAAAGCTTAGGGAGTCTTAGGGAGTATTAAGGAGTATAATTCTATGACTGCTGTTTGCTGAAGAATCCCCCCGAAAATGTAAAAGAGATGATGTTTCTTACGTAGATAGACATAAAGACTTTTTTTTTTTTTTTTGGGGGGGGGGGGGGGGGGGGGGGTGCTTGAGCAAATAGGAAGTAGATGATGCCCAGATGTGTGTGTGTGTGTGTGTGTGTGTGTGTGTGTGTGTGTGTGTGTGTGTGTGTGTGTGTCTGTCTGTCTGTCTGTCTGTCTGTCTGTCTGTCTGTCTGTCTGTCTGGCTGGCTGGCTGGCTGGCTGTCTGTCTGTCTGTCTGTCTGTCTGTCTGTCTGTCTGTCTGTCTGTCTGTCTGTCTGTCTGTGTGTGTCTGTGTGTGTGTGTTGTTATACAACTCTGGAATGAGCAAGAATTTCAAGATATGCATTATTTAAATAGGGAACATGAAAATATGTGTACATGTTATTGCTACATGCTATATATCATGTAGTAATCATATCAACACTGATTTTGCAATAGTGTTAGTATTCAACGATACATTCGAGTATCTTTCATGTTGCATGATTTGTATCCTATAACTGTCACCTTGCAGTCACGGTATGGGGGTACCTTATCGGGGTCCTTTTTACAAGGGATCCTACTATTTGGGGTCGAAATTAGGGGTCGCTTATTATGGTTAGCTTAGGGCGTTTGCGAAAAATCCGGGTCGGAATAATTACTACTAGTATTCCCTTATGGTCCCTTTGTAACTATACTACAAAAATCGCCCAAAACCCTAGTTCTAATTCTTCAGGCCCCTTTTACCCTATAACCCTATAACCCTAAACCCTAAACCCCCAAACTCCTATAAAGCCTTAACCTTAAGCCCCTCCCCTGTTGCCACGCCCTATTAACCCTATAACCCTATAACCCTATCACCCTATAACCTTATAACCCTATAACCCTATAACCCTATAACCTTAAACCCTAAACGCCAGGAAGAAGCGGTGGATCTTGAAGTCCATGGGAGACAGATGGCCGCAGGAGCATGTGGAATGTAATGTGAAGCTGGGAACCCAGGCCTGGAGTTGGGGGTTGCCTAAAGGGTTTAGGGTTTAGGGTTTAGGGTTTAGGGCTGAGGATCTAAACCCTAAATCCCAAGGGTTTTTGGGTTTTACCCGGTTGGCGGGGCGATCTTTCGGGTGTCAGAGTGTGACGTTGAAGCCCTGGGCCCCCCTCCCTGTGACAGGCGATGTGGCAAGCGGAGATCTATGTGGCCCCCTTGGAAACTTGGCAGCGCAGTGGTGCCCGTCTGCCTTGCTAGGGTTTGGGGTTTAGGGTTTAGGGTTTAGGGTTCAGGGTCAGCAGGCCAAAAAGCCACCCTTATTGTCCCATGGATGCCGGGGTACCAAGGAAACGACCTTCGTCAGCAAGCACGAATGCACTCACTGGAACCATGCTGTTATCAGCGCCATCTCCAACATTCCTGGGCACAACCTGTGGAAGTCATCTCAGGCCTCGGGCACATAGCGTTTCCTGGTCCTGGTCACGAGATAAAGCAGAGACACCGGGTAGAATGCAGAGGGCAGGGTATAGACTATGGGCATTTGCCACAAAAGGGGGTACCCCTACGAAACCCCAAAAAACTATACTGCCGATTATGGACCCCCCAAAAAAACATAAAAAATGGTCGGCCCCCCATTTCCGAAAACAAAACCTATAGAGCAAGGTCATGGTAATGCAGCACGTCGAAGCCCCAAACCCAAAACCCAAAACCCAAAACCCTAAACCCTAAACCCTAAACCCTAAACCCTAGCCCTAAACCCTAAACCCCACACTCGAAGCCCTGAGCCTCTGTGTGGCTTTCAGCGCTCTTGTCGCAAGATGGCATACGATGCCGGGCTCCGCCTGCTTCCTGCAAGGTCTCACGCCGAACCTTCGGAAAAAGTATCAGGTAAACGCGCATCACATAAAGTTGAAAGGATACTATATGTATACATATTTATATATAGTTTTTTTATTTCACACGCACATATACATATATATATATATATAACATTCATACGCACATATGGAATTTACTATACATAATTCGTCTCTATCGCAGGATCTGTAAGAGATAATACATGTGCGGTCAAGGCCTTTCTTCCAGGGTGCAGGCATGCCGTCCGCCGTGAGCAAGTCTGTTTTTTATCGCTTTGACAGCGGGTTGCGGACTCGCGATGACAATGTACATTGATTCATTGAGTCGGCTTGAGCTGCATTTCCGAACATGTTGGTGGTGTGTATTGGTTGAAGCAATGGGGTCGCCGTGCGGGATGTTTCAGGGAGTAGGTCCACACCTGACCATCTCAGAAGGTTCGGAAAATGCATTTCGGCTCATGGCCGGATAGGAAGGAGTGGCCGCGGCGCGTGGTCAGGTTCGAGGCGTTGAGGTGCGGGCTCTTCTCCGAACTTTGGGCAGCAGGAGTGAACAAATGCACATGGTGTCATCGTAATGGTAGTCGGCCCCCTAGGGGTCGACATTGAAGGGATGGGGTGCACAGATCTGAGTCTTTGTATGAGCCGTATGCCACGTGCGGAGGATGGGTGTCCCAAAGCGGGCGCTCATGTTTAGTGCACCCCAGATGAAGGGGCCAATTGTTCGCTGAACATCCGCTGACGACCACTTCGATGATTCCATTGTTTAATGCAGAGTGATGATGCAGGTGCGGCTTGCGGACTGTCCTCACATCACACCAGTTGCATGTTGACACTTCAAGTCCTCGTCCTTAGGGGTTTGAGGGGTTTAGGGTTTCAAGGTTTAGGGTGTAGGGTCTAGGGTTTCAAGGTTTAGGATGGTTTACGGTAGGGCTTGAGAGTTTGAGGGTTTTAAGCGTGTTGCTGTCAAGAACCCTCATCTTATGGAGCCGTTTAAAACATTCCAAAATCCGTGTAGCTCGGAGGTTCATGAGGCACCCTGAACCCTCAACCCTCAACCCTCAACCCTAAACCCTAAACCCTAAACCCTAAACCCTAAACCCTAAACCCTAAACCCTAAACCCTAAACCCTAAACCCTAAACCCTAAACCCTAAACCCTAAACCCTACGTACTTGGGGAGGCAGTTCGTGCAGCTCCGCGCCAGCATGAGCCAATGAACCCCGAGCCAACGGCCGAAGAAAGGTTAGGAAAAGGGGGTGTCCAAATTCGGTCAAGCCTGGGTTTAGGGTTTAGGGGTTTAGGGGTTTAGGGTTTAGGGGTTTGGGGTTTAGGGTCTTAGGGTTTGGGGTTTAGGGTTTAGGGTTTGGGGCTTGGGGTTGGGGGGCGTGGAGTTTACTGGCCGAAGTCTCAGGCCCGTCTACCTGCCCGCTGGCGCCCGAGATCTTGGAGTCTCAGGTCATTGTGTCGGTGGAGAGTGGTGGAGAGACGGGGTTTTGGATGTAGAGCCTCTTGAGATGTCCTAGAGGGGTCGGAATAACTACTAGTAGTGTTCCCTTCTGGTCCCTTTATATACATATATATATATATATACTAGAAGAACCCCCCCCCCCAACAAAAAAAAAAAAAAACCTGTTCTTCCCAGGTCTGTGACATCAAGCCTTTGCCAGTCTAGGGTTTCGGGTTTAGGGTTCAGGCACTTCCTGACTGGGAGATCGTCTTGTACTCTGCAAGGTCCACAGCCCAGCGTCAATGCGCTCGCGATCGCCCAGCCCCCACACGCAGGCCGGGAAGCATTGTGGCTCCCTGGCCAGGGGGGCTGCGGACTAATGTGGGTAATCGAAACAATTGACTAAAAAAGCTCGTGGGCTACTCCCTTGTGTTTGGGGGCCTGTTTCGTAATGAAATTGTAAAAGGAATTTGAATAAAGCTGGACACCATAAACTTCCGCAGGTTCTTATTCAAAACTACGTTTAGTTTTTGGCTCCCCGACCCCCCGCCCTTCATCCCCGGGCCGCAATTGCCAGTAACCCTTGGCAATAGGGGGGACCCTCTATATTTGTAACGCTACGCGACCCGCCTTGGCCTGAGATTCTGTAAGGAGGCAACCCAAACCAGGCGGTGGGTGGGGTGTGGGGCGGGTGGGAGGGAGGGGGGGGGGTGCGGGTGGGGGGGGGTGGGGATAAGAGGTGGGGTGCCTGCTGTGTGCTACCCAGACACCTACGGCCCGAGGCCTCGGCGGAGTTTTCCGGGAAAACGCCTAATCGCGGCTAACAGCAGTAAAGCGGGTGCAACATTAGGGTTTAGGGTTTAGGGTTTATTGATTGCTGGACTTGGCAGATGTGGGCGATCAGTGGGTCGCAGACCTGTTCCTATAACAAGAGGCACCTTTCGTGACAGACGACTCTCTGAACTGGTTTGGCCCGATGATCATAACTTCAATTGCGGCACGTATAGCACCACTTATAGTTACCCATAGACCTGCAAGTAAGCTCAAGCTTCCTTGCCCCCCCCCCCCCCCCCAATCTCTCTGAGGGTTTAGGGTTCAGGGTGTCGGGTCTGGGGGTTTAGGGTTTGGGGTTTAAAAGCTTCCTGCCCGAAATGGTGCAGGGTCCGATGGCGAACATGGCGATGAGCTGGACGCACATCGGGCATGAGGCGGCTCGGACTGCTGGAAAGCCTCCGCTTAGAACTGCGATGTGCCATATAGGGGCAAAATACTACTATAGGGGTAGTATCGGGTTTAGGGTTTAGGGTTGAGGGTTTAGAAATAGTTGCGAGTATCATTCCTTTGTGGTCCCTTTATAATTATACTATAGTGACCCCCCCAAAACCCTATTCTAACTAAACCCTTCCCCCTAATATTAGACCCCCCCCCCCCCCCCCCGCTACCCCCTACCCCCTAATATTAAACCCCCTCCCCCCACCCTATAGTTCTATTACAGTATTTGGGGGGGGGGGGAATTTAATATTGGGGGGAAGGGATTATTAAGGCCCCTATATGATGGGTCTACACCTCGTACCAAAGCCCGAGTTCTACGGAAGCCCCATCAGGTCCGCTTTTTGTAGAAGCTCATGTCAAAAGTGCGATGTAGGGTTTAGGGTTTAGGGTTTAGGGTTTAGGGTTTAGGGTTTGCTGCATGGCCTTGAGAGCTTTGGTTCAGGCATCTCAGTTTGCCATGCTTCCAGATTTCCGAGCCGGCCTCTCAGCATTCGTGCTCTGCATTGATTAGGGTTTAGGGTTTAGGGATTGATACCATTCAGATGGAAGCCCTCATCAGGGGGATACTCGTACCATGCGGTGTTCAACCCCAGCGAAAAGAGTGACAGAGGCACTTTTGTTACTGCAATTCCATTCCCAAAGACAGTGTGTGATGGTGTAGGAAGTCTACACATTGACATGGGAATAGGGTTTAGGGTTTCGGGCTTAGGGCTTAGGGTTTAGGGCTTAGGGCTTAGGGTTTAGGGTTGAGGGTTTAGGGCCCAACAGAAGGGCAAGAGGCGTCCAAAAGTGCGCGTGAATGGGCTGTCGGAAGTAGAACCCAGCCTATCAGCTGCCATCCGAACGTTCAGCACGGTCTCCAAGAGGCCAGGGCCATGCGTGATCATGAGTAGAGGGCCGACTATGGTTAAGTTTAGGGATATCATAAAGATATGTGTATATGTTTAGAGACATGTAAGTAGATTGAATACTACATATGTATTTGTATGTATGTATGTATATGTATATGTATATGTATATGTATATGTATATGTATATGTATATGTATATGTATATGTATATGTATATGTATATTTATATGTATATGTATATGTATATGTATATGTATATGTATATGTATATGTATATGTATATGTATATGTATATGTATATGTATATGTATATATATATACATATATATATATATATATATATATATTCATCATATATGCCTATATACAGCTACACAGGTTACCTTTGAAGCTCACCAAAGAGTTTTGTGCTATGAGTGAAGAGAAATGCTTCGATGGAATGGGGTGTGGGCCCACTTGGAGGTTCATGGGTACTTATATCCCCAACGATAAGTCTACTTCTAGCCTACTTAGACGTAGGGGGCTTGTAAGTACAGTTATTGTTGGGGTTTAAACCCTAAACGACCCTAAAGCCTAAACCCTAAACCCTAAACCCTAAACCCTAAACCCTAAACCCTAAACCCTAAAACCCTAAACCCTAAACCCTGAGCCTCGTTGGGGTTACAAGTTCCCTGAACCTCCAACCAGAAAGCACTGGTTCCAGGCCCAGGCTCGGTCAACGAGCCCCCCCCAGCCTTCCCCCGCGCAGCTCCCCGTCCAGGCGCGTAGTGGGGTTTTTGCTGAACCCTAAACCCTAAACCCTAAACCCTGAACCCTAAACTCTAAACCCCAAACCCTAAACGCCAAACCCTAAATCCTGAACTTATATATATATGTATATATACATATATACCTTTTTTATATTTTTTTCAATATTTTTTTGGGGGGGGAGAAGGGTGTTTAAGGTTTATGGTTGCTAGCGCCCAAACCCACCCTGAAGGGTTGGGCTTAGGCTCACAGAGTCCGATGCGCAGCATTGACACCCTAAACCCTCAACCGTAAACCCTAAATCCCTAAATCCCTAAATCCCTAAATCCCTAAATCCCAAACCCTAAACCCTAAACCCTAAACCCCGGAAGCATATCCCAGAACCCTGAGGCCTTTTCGAGAGGCCCATCTCATGCGGGTAGCTTCCCCCATGCAGACCTCAGGGTTTAGGGTTTAGGGTTTAGGGTTTAGGGTTTAGGGTGTAGGGCTATTCTATGACCTCCTCGAGCAACAGGCCCTTCTAGAATCCCACGTGGCAGGCCGCTGCTCGGCGCCGACCATCGGACTTTGCGGTGGGCACGACGAGCCCTCGTGCCAGCCCTCGTGCCAGCGTCCTGGTGGTGTAAACCCTAAACATCCCTAAACCCTAAACCCTAAACCTTAAACCCTAAACCCTAAACCCTAAGCCCTAAGCCCCTAAGCCCTAAAGCCCTAAAGCCCTAAAGCCCTAAAGCCCTAAAGCCCTAAAGCCCTAAAGCCCTAAAGCCCTAAAGCCCTAAAGCCCTAAAGCCCTAAAGCCCTAAAGCCCTAAAGCCCTAAAGCCCTAAACCCTATCCGGATTCTTGGCCCGAGGGCGTCCACTGTGGGCGATTTCCCAAAGGCAAGGCATCAGGCCACGCCGAGCGTGTCGAAGTGCCATCGGTTCTCGGTTATCTCTTCCCTCGGTCGGGGTTGGGCATGAGTAGGGCTTAGGGTTTAGGGTTTAGGGTTTAGGGTTCAGGGTTCAGGGTTCAGGGTTCTGGGTTTGGGGGTTCTGGGTTTGGGGTTTAGTGGGTTTGAGCTTGCCATGACACTTAAGGCCTTCTCTCCGAGAAGTACAGACAGGTCGCCGGCCGCCGCCTCATGAATTCTCGATACCTTGCGGGAACGCTTCGAGCGCCAGACACTGCCGAAGGCTACCAGTGATGAGAACGATATGAACCCTAAACCCTCAACCCTAAACCCTAAACCCGAAACCCTAAACCCTAAACCCTAAACCCTAAACCCTAAACCCTAGGGCTTGGTGAATGAGAGGGGGCTCCGAGGGTTGTTGGTGAGTCTAGACTGGGGGGTGTCTTTTTGGGGATACGCGTGGAAGATACCCTACTTCACAAACCCTAAACCCTGATTCTATTCTTCTTTCAGATTCCTACATATAACCCCAAACCCTAAACCCCAAGCCCAAAACCCTAAATCCTAAACCCTAAACCCTGATTGCATTCTTATCTTCCTACATCTAGAGCAGCTGACCGAGGGCATCAGCAGCCGGCCCTCCGACTTCTCCCCGGCGCAAGCCTTGGCATGCACAAGACAAGCTGAGCTTGTAGACGCGGGCCTCAGAGGTTTAGGGGTTTAGGGTTTAGGGGTTTAGGGGTTTAGGGGTTTAGGGGTTTAGGGATTTAGGGTTTGGGGTGTAGGGTTTTGGGGTAGGGGTTTAGGGTTTAGTGGTTTGGAGTTTAGGGGTTTAGGGGTTTAGGGGTTTAGGGGTTTCGGGTCTCAGGGGAGGTGTCGACAGTGCCGGCCGCTTTGCTAGCAACCTGCTCACCATGACTGCAGAGGTCGTGACATGGAGCATGGTGTAGGGGATGCCTTTACTCTGCTGTCGTTTCCAATTTCCCGTTTCCTTCGCAACCCTAAACCCTAAGCCCTAAATCCTAAACTCTAAACTCTTCGTGCAGGGCACGGCAGTTGATTCGGTGAGGGCCTGAGTGAGAGGGCGTGCTTCCCGAGACCACGTGCGTCCGAGCTGCTTCGCTGCGTATTCTATTGATATGTGGGCAGTTCTCTAACTTACGGTGGACCTTTTTTGGGGTGCCCGCAATAAGAGGGTCCACCTAATTAGAAGGATGCCCAAACAAATATGTCTTAGAGAAGTGACCAATCTGTCATACAAGGGATCCCGCACAGCAACTTAGGGTTTAGGGTTTAGGGTTTGGGGTTCGGGGTTTAGGGTTTAGGGTTTAGGGTTTCGGGTTCGGGGTTTAGGGTTTAGGGTTTAGGGCTCAGTGCAGACGACTTGCCAACGTAGCCTGGGAGCACGCGCATCTCACCGCAAGGACCTTTGCAGCAACAGCGACGTCTCTCGGCCCGGGGCTAAGATGTGCTTCTTGAAGGTTCATGGAAGGGTTATAAGTAGGGTAACTATAGCTATCACTGGCTATAACCTTACTTGCTTAAGGTACTTGTAACCCTACTTATGACTACCCATGAACCTCCAAGTGGGAGCAGGCCAATGCAGTTTTCCTGTGCAGTCTTCTGAAGACTGCTCTTGAGGTGACTAGGGTTTAGGGTTTAGGGTTTAGGGTTTAGGGTTTAGGGTTTAGAGTTTAGGGTTTAGGGTTTTGGAAATCCGTGCCGTAGGAGTCAAGTGACACTGACATGAAGTCGTTGCTCGCTCCCGAGGGACGTCCTTGGAAGCCCGGTATCTGGAGGTCTCCTCGTCCGGGCCTCGAAAACGCAAACCCAACCTTTTGATCCACCTCCGGTTTAGGGTTTAGGGTTAGGGTTACCCTAAGCCCTAAGCCCTAAGCCCTAAGCCCTAAGCCCTAAGCCCTAAGCCCTAAGCCCTAAGCCCTAAACCCTAAACCCTAAACCCTAAACCCTAAACCCTAAACCCTAAACCCTAAGCCCTAAGCCCTAAGCCCTAAACCCTAAACCCTAAACCCTAAACCCTTAACCCAAGCCCCAAACCCGAATTCGAGTCCTTGCTTACCTGGCTCTTGGGTTCCTTGGGGGTTCAGGGTCCAGGATTTGGGGTTGGCATGTTTTCCGATTATGGTCCTGATTTGGGGGGGGCACCCTACACGTAGGGTTTAGGGTTTTGGCGTCTGGCCTTCGATTATACAGTAGGGTTTAGGGTTTAGGGTTTAGGGTTCAGGGTTTAGGGTTTCAGTAGGTCGCCCGCAAGGGGGCCCAGAAGAGTTCCCGCGATTTGCCTGGGACCAAGGACGATCCCTGGCTCGGCGTGGCAGTGCGATCTCCACTTAGGCAGGCCCTCAACCCTAAACCCTAAACCCTAAAGCCTAAACCCTAAAGCCTAAACCCTAAACGGGCTAAGCCCTAGAACCCCCCAAAGCCTACACCCTAAAGCCCAAACCTACACCCTAATAGCCCCGTAACCCCAAAACCCTAAAGCCCCAACACCTACCCACACATCCACAAGCCTAAATCCCCAAAGCACCAGAACCCCAAAACCCTACATAATCTTAAAAGCCAAAAAATCAAAAACCTAAAGACAAAGATGTACCAAAAAGACCCTCAACCCCCAAGCAAGATTGCAGAAGCCAAACTCAAAAAACCTATAAACAAAAGATACCCCCCCAAGACCATCAAGCCCAACATAGAATCTTAAAGCCATAAACTCAAAAGCCTAAAAACCAAAAGATACCTCCCCCCCCAAAAAAACTCAACCCCCAAAAAGAATCTTAAAAACCAAAGACTCAAAAGCTTAAAAACAAAAAGATACCCCCCCTCACACAAAAAAATGGAAACCCTCAACCCCTAAATAAAATCTTCAAAGTCAAAACCTCAAAATCCTAAAGATAGCCCTCAACACCCTAAACATAACCTCAAAAACAAAGCTCAGGCCTAGAAACAGAACACAACACCCCAAACCCTAAACCCATTGCTCTAAAGCCCAGCGCCCGAGAGAGTTTCGGGGTTTAGTGGTTTTGCCCTAAACCCTAAACCCTAAACCCTAAACCCTAAACCCTAAACCCTAAACCCTAAACCCTAAACCCCAAACCCTAACTGCAGTCGGAAGTTCACGCCTGGGCTCAGGAGCCCTGGTCGGGAGCTGCGTGACCCCGGACGTCCGCCTGGATCCTACAAAAGACCCTCAGGTGGTTTAGGGTTCAGGGTTTAGGGTGTAGGGGTTTCGGGTTTCGGGGTTTAGGGTGTCGGGGTTTAGGGGTTAGGGTTTAGGGCTTCATAGGGGCTGATGATTCAGGGTTCCGGGGTTTAGGGTTCGGGGGCTTCAGGATTTAGGGTTTGGGGCTTTGTTTATTTCCGGGTTTGTGCTTTGGGTCTTGGGTTTTGGAACGCAGGAATGACTCTGAACCCTACGCCTACACCCTGCACCATGAGGGTTTCTCCTTACGAATGCAGATTCCCTGCCCAAGGGATTGCTGGGCTCGCTCTGGGCAGTGCGTTTGTCATCTGGTGGTTAAGGTTTAGTTTAGTTAGGGCTGATACAACTACTGGCCCAAAACCCCCCTCAGAAAAAAAAAAAAAAAACGATATCATTATCCCTATATGACCCTTTATAAGGCAGATTTTTTCAGGTTTGGTCTCAGCAACTAGTAGGATCAAAATCCCCATAAGGCAGAACAGTTGTAAGTTTGTTGGGGTTTCTTAAGCAAATAGAAACCCTAAACCCTAAACCCTAAACCCTAAACCCTAAACCCTAAACCCTAAACCCTAAACCCTAAACCCTAAACCCTAAACCCTAAACCCTAAACCCTAAACCCTAAACCCTAAACCCTAAACCCTAAACCCTAAACCCTAAACCCTAACCCCTAACCCCTAAACCTTAACCCTAAACCCTAAACCCTAAACCCTAAACCCTAAACCCTAAACCCTAAACCCTAAACCCTAAACCCTAAACCCTAAACCCTAAACCCTAAACCCTAAACCCTAGGCCCTAAACCCTAAACCCTAAACCAGTAGTACAGGGGGTTAAGGCAAAACTGACTTGGCACATTCCCAGGGCGCAAGCTGGTCCTCTTCGCAGACCGGCCGGCTCCATAGATTCGAGCCAACCGAGGATTTCCCGGGTTTAGGGTTCAAGGTTAAGGGTTTAGGGTTTAGGGTTTAGGGTTTAGGGTTTAGGAGCTTAGTGTTGGGATGTTCCCCCTTATACTAACAGTCCTGAAGAGCGATTATACTAGGGGGTACCAGAATCCCTATTCAGGGTTGTCAGAAAAGGGGGAACATCCCAAGTTTAGTGTAAAACTAGGGTTTGGGGTTTGAGCTTGATGTTTTAGGCTGCAGGATTCCTTGAGTAGCGCAAAGAAGAACCTAAAGCCTAAAGCCTAGACCCTGAACCCTGAATCCTGAACCCCTATGCTCGTCACTAGGCACCTGGCAGTATCGGGTTTGCAGGGTTTTTCGGGGTACAGGGTTTACAGGGTTTACAGGGTTTACAGGGTTTACAGGGTTTACAGGGTTTACAGGGTTTACAGGGTTTACAGGGTTTACAGGGTTTACAGGGTTTACAGGGTTTACAGGGTTTACAGGGTTTACAGGGTTTACAGGGTTCACAGGGTTCACAGGGTTTACAGGGATTACAGGGTTTTTAGCGCTTGTATAGGGATTTTAGGGTGTAGGGGGTTTCATTTTGCCATAGGTTTGGTACCAACACATCCGGCGCCGAGGTTCCCAGCATCACCAGCCCCGAATGGGCAGAGCAGGCCGGGGGTGATCCCTTTTGCTCCGGTGTGGCAATGATGAGCGGGTCTGCTCTTGCAGAGCAAGAGCAAGCTACGATTTGCTTAAGAACCCCTCCCCCCCCCCCCCCCCCCCAAAAAAAAAAAAAAAAAAAGTTTCAAAGCACACCATCAGAACCCCTATACTAGCCTTTTTTTCTTGAGGGGGGGGGGGTGTTCTGAAGCAAGTAGTCGCAAGAACGCCATTTGGGCATCGCCCAGGGTGCTTGCCGAGCCTTTGCGTAAGCCCAGGCCACGTCGGCCCAGATCGTATGATCCCCTTATAATCAGAGCCCCAATAACCCAGGGACTCCAACATCCCTAAATTAAGGAATATTCCTTACAGTATAAGAGGGGTTTATGGAATATTCCTTAATTAAGGGGTATTGGAGTCTCTGGGAAGGTACCCTCAATGTTGCAAAGGCCCATGTGTCTGTATGGCTCCTGCCTAACAGTCCTACTCACAGTCCTGACTTCCTTAGTAGGGATTATAAGAGGCAGTACTGTTCTCCCAAGGACGGCTAGTAGAAAGGGGAACATCCCAATGTCCTACCCTAAACCCTAAACCCTAAACCCTCAACCCTCAACCCTAAACCCTAAACCCTAAACCCTAAACCCTAAACAGAGTGTTTGGGGACAGTCTTGAACAGGCAGAGGAGGGCCAGCCGGTTCTGCCAGCTCCACAGCTGCCGGCTCTGGAGGCAATTTCCCAAATTGGGGTTTAGGGTTTAGGGTTCAGGGTTCAGGGTTTAGGTTTAGGCTAGGGTTTGCCTGTCACTCTCTCCTTGCTGTTGGTTCGTAGGGAATGAGGGAGGGAATGAGGTACACTATATAATCCCTGAAAGGGTATATGTAGGGGGATATAGGGTGCCTCATTCCCTCATTCCCTACTAACCAACAGTAAGTCTCTCTTCTCTCTCTCTCCCTTTTCTTCCTGTCTCTCTTCTTTGCCTCCCTCCCTGTGTCTCTCTCTCTCTCTCTTTCCACCTCCTCGGCCTTCTCCTCTGCCTCCCCCTCCCCTCCCCCTTCCCTCCCCATTGGAGGACTTTCAAATTGCCATGCGCGCGGCAGGTTGAGAGACCTCTTGTCTTCACGGCAAAGTACTAGCATGGTGAGTGCATCCAACGACTTCGAAGCCTCCATAACCCAAACCCTAAACCCTAAACCCTAAACCCCAAACCCTAAACCCTAAACCCCAAACCTCCATGAGGGCTGAACGAGATTCCCAGACCAGGCCACTTGCTTGGGGGTTAGGCTCCCTTCTCATTTAGGGTTTAGGGTTTAGGGTTTAGGGTTCAGGGTTTAGGGTTTAGGGTTTAGGGTTTAGGGTTTAGGGCCTTCTCAGGGTACCCTTTCTATTCCCGGGTTCCCCGTGGGTTCTAGTAGAGAATAGTTACCTGCCACGTCCTTGAGACTTTGTACGAACAAGGCTGGCTACTATTTGCCTAAGCACCCCCCAACAAAAGCCACAATATTATAATCCCTACATTACCCTTACAAGGAAGGGGCGTCCTGGGTTTTAGGGTTTAGGGGTCGATGCTTGCCAGGAGCTTTTTGCCCAGAACATGCGGGCCGCGTGCTCAGCAATGCTCAGCAAGCGGGCCTCAGCAGCTGTGAAAGCCTCTGGGTCAAGGTTCCGCTACTTGAAGGGTCATGGGTGGCCCATACGTGGGGTTATCATTAGAGTAGCTTTAATTCTAACCCTACTTATAACTACCTATGAACCTCCGGGTATACCAGCTCAAGTCGGGGGTGTCCCCCAAAATTGGGAGCACCTACTTTGAGGATTCCGATAAGAAGGGGGTACTATTTTGGGGTAAGGGGTGCCCCCGTTTTCGGAGCAGAAGGGTGACGCCCAACATTCTGCCCTTCGTGCTGCCAGGAGCAGCGGGAGGAGCGGAAGCTCCGGCAACAGCGAAAGGAGCCGAGGCCGCAGATGCAGAGGCCGCAGATGCAGCGGCCGCAGACGGAGCAGCCGCAGACGCAGTGGCCGCCGACGGATCGGCCGCAGACGCAGCGGCCGCAGATGCTGAGGCCAACCATCAGTGCCAGCCGACGTTGCGACATGCACCGGGCTTTTTTGGTTGGATGATGTCTGCCCTGCACTGTAGGTCCTAAACCAAGTGAGCCCTGCGTGCAGGTCTATCCTGCCGTCCTTTGAGGAGTCCCGAAACAACAACCTCTGTGGAGCCTTGGTCAGATTGGAGTGGACATTGGCTGGTTGACTAGGGGAATAGCCAAGGGCCTGGTGTTCAGGGTTTTTGGTTGCCATTTTTTGGCCACGTCTTGCTTCGAGCATCCGTGCGAGATGGAAGAGACATTCCGCTACCCCACCTACCCCCAGGCCACAATCTCAACAAAGCTGCCGAACGCTCGCTCATTCTGGATGAGACGACAATTGCCCATACTTCTCTGGCTACCGAAGTTCTTCTCGCACGATTGATGTTTTCTCATCGCTCGATCTAACAGCTAGCCAAACCTCAACTTCAAGTCCGGTTTAGGGTTTAGGGTTTTAGGGTTTTAGGGTTTTAGGGTTTTAGGGTTTTAGGGGTTTAGGCGTTTAGGGGTTTAGCTTGCCTCAAGTCTTCAAGCATCACCCAACCCCTGAACGTATCAACTGTTGCGGTGATGGCAAGGTTTCAGCCCAGGGTACGAAGAGATCCCTGATGACAGCTTCTATGGCAAGCACGTGAAGCTGTGAGGCCTGCTTCTCAACCCTCAGCACGACATGCTAAACCCTAAACCCAAAAGTCCGAAGCATCAGAACCCAGGAGCCGAACACCCTGCAATGAAGAAGTCTACCCTGAATCTACACAGTGATAGGCGATCTTATCAAGGACTAACCCCTCATTCTGAGCTACAAGGTGTATCCTGTTGGCATGTATCGGGCTTTCTGGATGCGTTAATGATGGTTTGGCTGTTCCTCCGACTTTGCTATGGCAAAGAACAGTCGCAAAGGCACAGCCAGTGAATGTAAATCGACGCCCTAGCGTTGTATTGTGGGAGTTAGGACAGCTAAGACTATATGCCGGAAATGAGGGTGACATAAAGTACCGAAGAAGCTGTGTGAAGTCGAGGAAAGTGGAGGAACAGCTGTTCGCACAAGCTGGCATCAGCCTTGCAACATGCCGCCAGAGTGGAGCTTTCAACCCTAAACCCTAAACCCCCTAGGCCCTAAACCCTAAACCCTAAACCCGAAACCCTAAACCCTCAACCATCAACCCTCAACCCTCAACCCTCAACCCTCAACCCTCAACCCTAAACCCTAAACCCTAAACCCTAAACCCTAAACCCTAAACCCTATACCCTATACCCTAAACCCTAAACCTTAAACCCTAAACCCTAAACCCTAAACCAACCTGAACCCTACGTCCTAACGAGCCGCAGCCTTCCTAAAGCATCCCGAATCCAAAGCCTTTAGCCCTTATGAACCGTTTTTAGTCATAGCGAGTCCGTCTTGCGCAGAGCAGCCGCGCAAGAAGTGAAGGGCTGGGTTGGGGGATCTCCTCGAACCCCTAAGCCCCTAACCCTAAACCCTAAACCCTAAACCCTAAACCCTAAACCCTAATCCCCTGAAACCCTAAACCCTCCAAGGGTAGCGACACGGTCGTGTAGTAAGGTCCCCTTGCCTTCTTTGAAGGGTTCTGACGTTTGGGCCCTTGGGTTTTAATAGGGTCTTTAAGGGGGTTAGGGTTTAGGGTTCAAATTTAGGGTTTAGGGTTTAGAAGGAGTCCCCGTTTAAGGGCCTATGAAGGGACCATGTAACTACCCCTTGGACACCCAAAACCCTAAACCTAAACCCAAGACCTATGATCCACATGGGCTCTGAGCCGATGATCCACCGGTGGATGGAGCAGGCTGTTAGCCTGCAGCCGCAGTCAATGATTCAGCCAAAGACAGCCGAGGGTTTCGGGTTTAGGGTTTAGGGCTTAGGGTTCAAGGGGTCCCGATGAGGGTGCAGGGGTTCTCCCCCCCCCCCCCCAAGCCCTATATTACCATTTGCCCAAGAGCCGCAAGAAGCCCAAGAACGTTCTTCCTTGAAAGGGCAGTACAGGGATTATCTTTTCGGGGGGTTCTTAAGCAAATAGTAGAAAACCCGAAGCCGACTCTAAACCTTCAGGAGTTTAGGGTCTCTGGGGGTTTTCGGGGTTCAGGGCTCTAGGGGTTTAGGGTTTTTAGGGGTTTAGGGTTTTCGAGCTTAGGGGTTTAGGGGTTCAGGGGTTTCGGGCTTGAGGGGCTTAGGCTTTCAGGAGTTCAAAAATTTAGATGCGCCGGGGTTAAGGCTTCAGGGGTTGCGGGTTTAGGGGCGAAGGGGCTTAATTAGGGTTGAAGATCGCCGGGACAGCTGCGCCCCGCCCAGTTCCCTGAGTGGACGGTCGAAATCTGCTGAGCAGGTATACCTTAAACCCTAAGCCCTAAGCCCTACACACCCTCAGCCCTACAAACCCTAAGCGCCAAACCTTGCCCTTACAAACCGTAAACCCTGCAAACTCTACAAAACCTAAACCCAAACCCTGCCCTACAAACCCCAAACCCTAAACCCTAAACCCTAAACCCTAAACCCTAAACCCTAAACCCTAAACCCTAAACCCTAAACCCTAAATGACGGCGCTGGTCTCTCGGCTCACAGCCTGCGTCTGATCTCCGTGGCACATGTGGCGCCTACCATGAGCAGCTTGGCGTCAAGACGGTTTAGGGTTTAGGGTTTAGGGTTTAGGGTTTCGGGTTTAGGGTTTAGGGTTTTAGTGTTTTTTTGGTCTTTTTTGGAAGGGAGGAAAGTTGTTTCAGGGCTTTAAGGGGTTTAGAGGTTCTCGGGCTCTGAAGTATTCAGATGTTCAAGGGGCAAGGGTTTAGGGTTTAGGGTTTAGGGTTAGGGTTGTGGCTGGATACAGACATAGTTGGCCAGACCTGATGTCGGTTTAGGGTTTACCCTCAGATTGCCCGTGATAGCACCTTAAGGCTCTTGGAGGCTATGTCTAGGGTTTAGGGTGCTCTCCACCCCTCGGGGTTTAGGGTTTAGGGTTTAGGGTTTAGGAACCCTGAAGCCCAAACGTGTACCCGTTGTTTTGGGGTTGGACGCTACTATTTTGGGGTACTGTGAGCGGGTCCATGCAGGACTGCAAAGCGGACGAATTAGGGTTCAGTACCTTAGGGATTAGGCTTTGCGGTTTAGGGTTTGGGGTTCAGTACCTTAGTAGTACCTTGGCCCCAGCAGTGCCCAACACGGGGCCATGAGTTTGGCCCTACTGCGCAAATGTTGTGAGGTTCCACCGCTGTGGCCGCCGAACCCTTAGCTTGTCAACTTCCAAACCTGTGTAGGGTTTAGGGTTTCGGGTTTAGGGTTTAGGGGTTTTTACCCAAATTTTGGGGAACTGCCCAGATTTATGGGCCCATGAAATTGCAAGGTCATTTTGGTCTACACTGTCATGATAAATCCTAAGCCCTACTTGCGGCATATGGGGGCTAGAAGGGGATGGGGGTGATGTTGGTATTTATGTGGGCTCCTGCGTCGGGTTTCGTGTTAGGGACCTGAAGAATAGCTTGCCTCCCTGAATATGGTCCCTCACCGTCCTTTAAAGGGTTATATAAGGGGGTCCCCTTTTAAGCCCAAAGTAAGGGAGCAAACCCCAAAGCCCCACACTTGTCTCCCCAACTTGCTAACCCTAAACCCTAAACCCTAAACCCTAAGCCCTAAGCCCAAAACCCTAAACCCTAAACCCTAAACTTAAACCTAAACCCCTAAACCCTAAACCCTAAACCCTAAACCCTAAACCCTAAACCCTAAACCCTAAACCCTAAACCCTAAACCCTAAACCCTAAACCCTAAACCCTAAACCCTAAACCCTAAACCCTAAACCCTCAAACCTAAACCCTAAACCCTAAACCCTAAACCCTAAACCCTAAACCCTAAACCCTAAACCCTAAACCCTAAACCCTAAACCCTAAACCCTAAACCCTAAACCCTAAACCCTAAACCCTAAACCCTAAACCCTAAACCCTCACCCCTAAACCCTAATCCCTAAACCCTAAACCCTAAAAACCCTAAACCCTAAAACCCTAAACTTAAACCCCTAAACCCTAAGCCCTCCCTAAACCCTAAACCCTATTCCCTAAATTTAAGAGCCTCCGGCTCAAGCCGCCGACCCCGCTGGAGCATAGTTAAACCCGCTCGCATGGTTCGAAGATCATCCCAGCCTGCTCGGCAGAGTTCTGTGAAACGTTTGGGGGGGGGGTAGGGGGTAGCAACAGGAGGCAAAAAGACAGGCGGGTGGGGGTGGGGGGGGGGGGGGGGGGGGGGGGGGGGGGGGGGGGGGGGGGGGGGGGGGGGGGGGGGGGGGGGGGGGGGGGGGGGGTGGGGGGGGGGGGGGGGGGGGGGGGGGGGGGGGGGGGGGGGGGGGGGGGGGGGGGGGGGGGGGGGGGGGGGGGGGGGTGCCGAAAACGCTGATTTTTGCTGAGGGCGCCCCTACCCCCCTGTGCTGAACCGCCTGTTTACGCTGTGCGGGTGGCGCGGTCCTCCACGAAAAAATTGTGCACCGCCCCCCCCCCCCCCCCCCCCCTCCGAGGGAGGTTTTCACCTCCTCAAACCCATCCAACACGCCGCCAGGGTCGGCGGACCCTAAGCCCTAAGCCCTAAGCCCTAAACCCTAAACCCTAAACCCTAAACCCTAAACCCTAAACCCTCACCCCTAACCCTAATCCCTAAACCCAAAACCCAACACCCAAAACCCAAAACCCCAAACCCAAAACCCTAAACCCTAAACCCTAAGCCCTAAACCCTAAACCCTAAACTTAAACCTAAACCCCTAAACCCTAAACCCTAAACCCTCAACCCTCAACCCTAAACCCTAAACCCTAAACCCTAAACCCTAAGCCCTAAGCCCTAAGCCCTAAGCCCTAAGCCCTAAGCCCTAAGCCCTAAACCCTAAACCCTAAACCCTAAACTTAGACCTAAACCCCTAACCCTCGATTCGAGCAACCTGGAAAGCGAAGTTTCGGAGCTCCGCGAGGTGAGTTTTGTGTAGGGCTTGGGGTTTTTAAGGATTTCTTAGGGTATTTAAGGTTGTTTTAAAGGTTTTTAAGGGTTTTTGTTTGAGTTTTTTTAGGTTTTTTTAGGGTAAACCCTCAGACCCTCAACCCAAATTTCAAAACCCCAAGATCGGTTGGCCAAAACCCTGACCAAGAAGGCAACACAAATGGCCCCACCCAAGCCCTAAACTCACATCAACCTAAACCCTAAACCCTGAACCCTGAACCTAAACCCTAAACCCTAAACCCTAAACCCTAAACCCTGAACCCTGAACCCTAAACCCTAAACCCTGAACCCTCAACGATGAACCCTCAACCCTCAACCCTCAACCCTAAACCCTAAACCCTAAACCCTGAACCCTGAACCCTGAACCCTAAACCCTAAACCCTGAACCCTCAACCCTAAACCCTAAACCCTAGACCCTAAACCCTACACCCTAAGCCCTAAACCCTAAACCCTAAACCCAACTTGCGCTTTCAGAGGATGGCCCGGAGTGGCCCTTGGATCAGTTTCGCAAGGCCACGGGCTTGATCCCAGCTGTAGAGGGTTTAGGGTTTAGGGTTTAGGGTTTAGGGTTCAGGGTTCAGGGTTCAGGGTTTAGTGTTTAGGGTTTAGGGTTTGGGGTTGCGGGTGTCGCCAGCTGTACCCGCAAACCTGGAGTAGGCTGTTCATGACGAGTATCCCCAGCAGGACACCCACTCTATGTATATGTCTTGATCGTTGTATATACCAACATTTAAAGGGTTTGACGAGTCTGGTTCTGTGTTGGAAAGCCAACTTCTTCTTTTCGGGGTTGAGCGTTTAGTTTAGAGCTTTGGGCTAGTGGCTTTGTTTTGAACTTTCTAGAGTATATTCCTTGCCGTTCAACATGACAACAAGGCCTGTAGTATGAGAACGGAGCTCTAAGCAAAACCCTAAACCCTGAACCCTGAATCCAAAAGCCTCCACCCAAAGGCTCGCCCACTGATTACCATGTCAGGCTTATGAGAAAGCCATTACCGAGCGAAGTGGTCGAAACTTAGCCGTGGCCTATCCGACCTGATTGCTCAGTGGTTGTCCGACTTGTCCGATGTTCTAAGGGTAGGTACCCTAAACCCCTAAACCCCTAAACCCCTAAACCCCTAAACCCCTAAACCCCTAAACCCCTAAACCCCTAAACCCTAAACCCTAAACCCTAAACCGTCCCTTAGTATGGGCGACCCCTTTTCTACCCCAAACAATTCAACTTCCCATACTTCAGAGCCCGTTAGGAGGCAAGAAGCCACCATCTAAACCCCTAAACCCCTAAACCCCTAAACCCCTAAACCCCTAAACCCCTAAACCCCTAAACCCCTAAACCCCTAAACCCCTAAACCCCTAAACCCCTAAACCCCTAAACCCCTAAACCCCTAAACCCCTAAACCCCTAACCCCCTAAACCCCTAACCCCCTAAACCCCTAAACCCCTAAACCCCTAAACCCCTAAACCCCTAAACCCCTAAACCCCTAAACCCCTAAACCCCTAAACCCCTAAACCCCTAAACCCCTAAACCCCTAAACCCCTAAACCCCTAAACCCCTAAACCCCTAAGCCCCTACACCCCTAAACCCCTAAACCCCTAAACCCCTAAACCCCTAAACCCCTAAACCCCTAAACCCCTAAACCCCTAAACCCCTAAACCCCTAAACCCCTAAACCCCTAAACCCCTAAACCCCTAAACCCCTAAACCCCTAAACCCCTAAACACCTAAACCCCTAAACCCCTAAACCCCTAAACCCCTAAACCCCTAAACCCCTAAACCCCTAAACCCCTAAACCCCTAAGCCCCTACACCCCTAAACCCCTAAACCCCTAAACCCCTAAACCCCTAAACCCCTAAACCCCTAAACCCCTAAACCCCTAAACCCTAAACCCTAAACCCCTAAACCCCTAAACCCTAAACCCGAAACCCTAAACCGCTCCTGTGCATTCAGTTTTCCTGAGCAAATCAACCACACGCATGCTACGTCCCAGCCCCTGCCATGGGACCGATTTTTTGGGTTTAGGGTTTAGGGTTTAGGGTTTAGGAATTAGGGTTTAGGGTTTAGGGTTTAGGGTTTAGGGTTTAGGGTCGGTTGCTTTGTTCAGGCCGGTTCTTTGCAGGGAACTCAGGAAATCTTAGGCACCCCGTCTATCCTTTTGTACAGTGCTTAATAGAGGGGAGTACCCAGGGTAGCCGTTCCCTACAATTCCGAAAAAAGAAGCAGAAGCATCGTGGATGTCGCTGTCATGCTGCCAGCTCGTGTTCCCTGGCGACTTCAACCCTGTGCACTTGGGACATCGCTTCATGTGCACCATGCTTCCAGTGTGGAGGTTTAGGTTTAGGGTTTAGGGTTTAGGGTTGAGGGTTTAGGGTTTAGGGTTTAGGGTTGCATCTTGCCCATGTCGGTTTAGGTAGAGTTGAGGGTTCAGAGTGTAGAGTTTAGGGCTTGGGACAGTGGAAAAGCATGCGCACGATCTTACTTGCTAGTTTGGGGTTTGCAGAATATGTTTTCAAAGGAGAGAGGGTTTAGGGTTTAGGGTTTAGGACTTAGGGTTTAGGGTTTAGGGATTAGGGATTAGGGTTTAGGGTGGCTAGAGATCACGGCCGCGTCTCGCGAGGACATCTGTTGATGATGCAGCAGGCAGGCACCGAATTCTGTCAGACGTCATCACGTGCGCAGTTCTCGAAGCTGTGGTCCCTTTTGGGGGTTTAGGGTTTAGGGTTTAGGATTTGGGGTTAGGGGTTAGGGTTTAGGGAAACTTGGGGCCGCCTGACAATAGTAACCCAAAAGCGACCGCAATTGAGGGAAGCGACCATGTGTCAACATGAGCCGAATGCGTGTCGCTGCCGACGGCTATAGCTTAAAGACCTGATAGTCCAAGTATTGCTTCGGGTCAGGCAAGTCGTCTCAATCTCCTCAACTTTGTAGGCCCTTGCGCGACATGTCATATTTCCCCTAGGACCGTAAACCCTAAACCCTAAACCCTAAACCCTAAACCCTAAACCCTGAACCCTGAACCCTAAACCCTAAACCCTAAACCCTAAACCCTAAACCCTAAACCCTATAAACCCTAAACCCTAAATCCTTTAAGAGGATCATGCTCAGGAATATTTTTCACAGGATTTTAAGGGCCATCCTAGCCACCGTTAACATCGATGGTTACATGGAATTCGCTCGGCCAGTTCTCCTACTAATCGCTTAAGAACCCCAGAAAAACACAAAATGTTCTTCCTTACTAAGGGTAGTATAGAGATGATTATTATTCTTCTTCTTCTTATATATATATATAATATAATCTATGTATTAAGGGCATTATACTGTTTGTTTTTGTTATTCCTTTGGGGTTCCTAAGCAAACAGTAGTCTCATGTCTGGCCCACAGAAGCGTCAACAGTCCCAAACCCAGGTAGGCCCATGATCTGTAATACACATCTGACAAAACATCTGCCCTAAGCCCTAAACCCTAAACCCCAAACCCTAAACCCTAAACCCTAAACCCCGCGCCTGCAGTGGAGACCGGCTTGAGCCTGTGTCGTATTTGGGCTCAAAGGAAGGACACCCTCTGCTTTGGAGTAAAGCTGCTGCTTGCTAGCAGTAACTTCCTCTGCTGTTTAGGGTTTAGGGTTTAGAGTTTAGGGTTTAGGGTTTAGGGTTTTTCGGGTAGGCTTCTGCTCAAGGGGATCGGATATATCATCGGGTTCTCTGGCAAGCTTTCACAGCTTTCACCGCTGTCAGTGCGCGTGATTCCCGTTTCAGGGTTTCAGTTTAGGGTTTATAGGGTATAGGGGGGAAGTGTTAAGTGGAGCTTAGGTTGTTTGGTGCGGCGCCTTTTGGCCACCGAGCAACCTCGCTGGCGGTGCACAGGCAGGAAAGCTCTTAGTCTGAATAACCGTGAAGCCTAAAACCTCGAACCCTGAACCCAAGACCCTAAGACCTCAAACCTTACACCTTGCACCCTGAACCCTAAAACCCTAAAACCCTAAAACCGTCACCTTAACCCTAAACCCCAAACCCTAAAACCTTAAAACCCTCGAGCCCCAAACCCCAAAACCTCAAAACCCCAAAGCCCCAAAACCCCACACCCCAAAACGTAAAATCTTAAAATCCTAATGCCCCAAACCCTCCCAAATCCTAAGGTCCTAAAACCTTAAACCCTAAAGCCCCTAAACCTTGAAACCTTGAACCCTAAACCCTAAACCCGAAACCCTAAACCCTAAACCCTAAACCCTACAGGACATCGAGGCGGGAGAATAAAGAATGATCCGAACGGGGTGGTCACGGCTTACAACCGGATGGGGTACAACCACTTCTGCAGAAGCTCGGCAGGGTTCATGGTTTAGGGTTTAGGGTTTCGGGTTTAGGGTTTAGGGTTTAGGGTTTCGGGTTTGGGGTTTGGGGCTTAGGGTTTAGGGTTTAGGGTTTAAGGTTTAGGCTGCACAAGAAAGATCGCATAAACAACTGCAAGAATAGTCGGCAGAACCGTTGAAAAAAAACACAACAAACCATTACGAGGCAGTAGTCGCAATGATAATAGCAGGGACAGCCATGGTTCAATATAGCAGTGAAACCTTTCGGAAGTATGAGTATGGAAACATTCTGACAACTCGTATTCGATTTCCATATTCGTACTAGCACTAGCAGAGTGCGAGTATGAGTATTCGTGTTCGTATTTGTAACAGTATTAGTATTTCGTAGCATGATCGATGGTTGTCAAGTCAGCGTCTGGGTTTGTACTAGCAACAGCAATCAGCGTATTAATCGCACACGGAATCGGAAGACTAATAGCAATGGCAGCGGCAATAGTAATCGAACAATCTAGGCCAGCACAATAGAAATTGTACTGGCAGTAGCACACCGACGAGTTGTGTCATGTGTGTCCCTAAACCCTAAACCCTAAACCGTAAACCCTAAACCCCAGATGTCCGCACGCATGAGAGCCGGTGCGCACCCCGGGAGTCCCGCCTTTCCGACGATGCTCGCACAGTGGCTTCCAATGAAGGAACTGCTGGTGATGTCATGTCAAACGCCCTTATTGAGGGTTTAGGGTTTAGGGTTTCGGGTTTAGGGTTTGGGGTTTTGGGTTTGGGGTTTAGCCCTTGTGGTGCCTTACGAAGCCTGTGGCATACCTGATGCTTGAGACGATTCCCCTCAGCTGAGGAAAGCGCATCAATCGAGCAGCTCATCAGTACCCATCGGGCGCTTCTCCTAGATGGAGGCCACGTGGATTGAAGTCCTGCTGTTTTGGCACTCTCCTCACTCCCCTAAACCCTAAACCCTAAACCCTAATCCCTAAACCCTAAACCCGCTCTCCTCTTGTGTCCTCTGGAGGACGTGCCGAGGTGGGTAGCGAAGCTGGCTACAGCAGCTTCGCCGCAAGATTGTTTAGGGTTGTGGGTTGTAGGTTGGTGGGGGGTCTGAGTTCCCACGACGGTCATCCTCCCTGAGCTCCAAACCCTAAACCCTAAACCCTAAACCCTAAACCCTAAACCCTAAACCCTAAACCCTAAACCCTGCGAACCGCGACCTGAGGTGCTTGCGCCATCTTTCTCAGTGCGGTAGAGACGACAGCCAAGACATTTGGACTTGAGGCCGGGCTCCTGTCAACTGAGCGCATCTTCCTTCAGGGTTTAGGGTTTAGGGTTTAGGGTTTAGGGTTTAGGGTTCAGGGTTTAGGGTTGCAATCCTGCACCGCTGGAGGCTGCCCCGCGTGCCTACCGCAAAAGGTTCTCGGCAAATTACCGCGGCCTGGCTGCGCAGTCTCTTCTTAGGATTTAGGGTTTAGGGTTTAAGGGTTTAGGGTTTAGGGTTTACAGTTTAGGGTTGGGTTTTCGGGATCTCACCTCTCGGCGGTTGCGATGTCTAAAACCCTAAACCCTACAACCCTAAACCCTAAAGAAGTACTGAAGTCCAGGAAGCCACAAATCTTGCTGTTTCCGTCTTTCATGGCTTCTGGGCCTCGTGAGGCAGGCGTAGTGGCTTCTAAGGTTTAGGGTTTAGGGTTCAGGGTTTAGCGTTTAGGGTTTAGGGCAACTGCACATTCGTTATCCTGACTCTTAGGTGCACTCTTCCCAGACGACGCACGGCACTACCGAGTGGACGTACTTGAGGCATCGGCGGAAATCAGGGGACCCTACTGCACCTGAACTGGGCTTTAGGATTTAGGGTTCAGGGTTCAGGGTTCAGGGTTTGGGGTTTAGGGTTTAGGGTTGGGAGAACTTATTCCGCCTTTTTTTGGGGTTTAGGTTCCCTTATCCACCCCGTTTCTAGGGTTTCTCTTGGTTCCAGACTTAGATGCCCCAAATCCCCGAACCCTGAAACCCCCCCCAAACCCTAAACCCTAAACCCTAAACCCTAAACCCTAAACCCTAAACCCTAAACCCTAAACCCTAAACCCTAAACCCTAAACCCTAAACCCTAACCTAAACCCTAAACCCTAAACCCTAAACCCTAAACCCTAAACCCTAAACCCTAAACCCTAAACCCTAAACCCTAAACCCTAAACCCTAAACCCTAAACCTAAACCCTAAACCCTAAACCCTAAACCCTACTGTAATTCTGAACTTCCCTCTGCTGGCGGTGTCTTAACCTGACCATCGATCCTAAAACCCTCAAACCCTAAATTTAAACCCTAAAAAACCCGAAACACCCTGAAAACCCCAAAATGCAAGCGCTAAACTCAGAACCCCAAGCCCAAGCCCTAAACAAGAAACCCTAAACCCCAGACCCTGAACAATAACCCTAAACCCCAAACCCCAAACCCTAAACCCTAACACCCTAACCGTATGTCGGCAGGCCAGTGCCGACCAGCACTCTGCGATTTGGGTGAATGGGGACAAGTTTGAGCTGAGCCCGGAGGCGCGAAGATGGGTTTAGGGTTTAGGGTTTGGGGTTTAGGGTTTAGGGTTAGGGTTTAGGGTTTAGGGTTTAGGGTTTAGGGCTTAGGGCTTAGGGCTTAGGGCTTAGGGCTTAGGGCTTAGGGCTTAGGGCTTAGGGCTTAGGGGCGAGGATGGTGCAAGGGGCGACGTGAGGACTCTACATGCCGTAGGGCTCAAACAGCTGGGCTTGGTGAGTGTTTCTGGGGTTCCTGTTGAAGATTGATGAGTGTACATGTTGGGGTTTAGGGTTTAGGGTTTAGGGTTTAGGGTTTAGGGTTTAGGGTTTAGGGTTTAGGGTTGCGGGGTACGAGTTAAAGTACCTAGTTCACACGCGTTTCAGTATGTGGTTTTAGGGTTTGGGTTTGTTCGATGGGGTTCAAGAACATGTGAGGTAGGTTTTGTATTACTTATATTGGTGTATGGTTCCTTCTAAGAACTCCCCTTCCCGCACCCTCACCCCCCCTCAGCCCCCCCTCAGCCCCCCCTCACCCGCCCTCACCCCCTGACCCCCCCTCCTGTGGTGTGGGTGTGGGTTGGTTTAAGGGTTCACGGCTTGGGGCCTTAGGGGTTTTAGCATAAGGCCTTCGGGTTTTGGGGCTTAGGGTTTAGTTAGGGTTCTACCGTTTAGGATTTAGGGCTCTAGGGCTTAGGGATTTAGGGTTGATGGCTTATAGAGTTTTTGTTTTTTTTGGATTAGGGGCGGGGGGGTGGGGGGGGGGGTTAAAGGGTTTAGGGTAAGGGTGGGGGGCCTCAGCTTCCTCGACCG